TTTTAAGTTCTGCTCGGAAACGAGCACTACCACCAATTTCAGTCTAAGTCAAACTTGTTGCCATGGATGCAAACAATATTTTATTCAGAAATCCTAAACTACCAAAAGGCACCAGTAGACCACCAGATCTATCTATGTGCCAAGTTTGGTGAAGAAACATTGAACGGTTTAGAGTTCTGCTCCGGAAAAGAGTACTAACACCAATTTCAGTCTAAGTCAAACTTGTTGCCATGGAAATGTAAATTTTTTTATTTTATTCAGAAATCCTAAACTACCAAAAGGCACCAGTAGACCACCAGATCTATCTATGTGCCAAGTTTGGTGAAGAAACATTGAACGGTTTAGAGTTCTGCTCCGGAAAAGAGTACTACCGCCAATTTCAGTCTAAGTCAAACTTGTTGCCATGGAAATGCAAACAAGGGTCATATCCCCCCCCGGCCCCAACATATTTGAAAGAACAAATCATCTGACAAAAAAAAGTCCAAATCGTTTCCATGGAAATCATGAGAAATATAAATGCCAAAAATTTGTAAATAGAACAAGAAGACAAAGTCATCAATATCCCCCTCAATGGCAAAATACTCTTCATGATTATGTCTATGAGTTATGATTATGTCAAATATTTAGGTGTGTACATAGAAAAGTGGAAGGAGAGCATTGAAAGGAGCACTATCATCAATTTCAGTCTCAGTCAAACTTGTTGCCATGGAAACACCAAAAATATTTTATTAAGAATTCCAAAATCTACCAAAAGGCACAAGTACACTAACAGATCTATCTATGTGCCATGTTTGGTGAAGAAATAGTGAACAGTTTTAGAGTTCAGCTCCAGAAAAGAGCACTACCACAATTTCAGTCTAAGTCAAACTTGTTTCCATGGAAATGCCAAAAATATTTTATTCAGAATTCCAAAACTACCAAAAGGCACCAGTACACTTGTTTGCCAGGCCAAAAATCTATCTATGTGCCAAGTTTGGTGAAGAAATAGTGAACGGTTTTAGAGTTCTGCTCCGGAAAAGAGCACTACCACCAATTTCAGTCTAAGTCAAACTTGTTGCCATGGAAACGCCAAAAATATTTTATTCAGAATTCCAAAACTACCAAAAGGCACCAGTACACTACCAGGTCTATCTATGTGCCAAGTTTGGTGAAGAAATAGTGAACAGTTTTAGAGTTCAGCTCCAGAAAAGAGCACTACCACAATTTCAGTCTTAGTCAAACTTGTTGCCATGGAAAAGCCAAAAATATTTTATTCAGAATTCCAAAACTACCAAAAGGCACCAGTACACCACCAGATCTATCTATGTGCCAAGTTTGGTGAAGAAATAGTGAACGGTTTTAGAGTTCTGCTCCAGAAAAGAGCACTATCACCAATTTCAGTCTAAGTCAAACTTGTTGCCATGGATATGCCAAAAATATTTTATTTAGAATTCCAAAACTACCAAAGGGCACCAGTACACTACCAGATCTATGTATGTGCCAATTTTGGTGAAGAAATAGAGAACAGTTTTAGAGTTCAGCTCCGGAAAAGAGCACTACCACAATTTCAGTCTAAGTCGAACTTGTTGCCATGGAAACGCCAAAAATATTTTAATCAGAATTCCAAAACTATCAAAAGGCACCAGTACACCACCAGATCTATCTATGTGCAAAGTTTGGTGAAGAAACATTGAAGGGTTCTAGAGTTATGCTCCGGAAAAGACAAATGTGCACAGACGGACGGACGGACTGACGGACGCACGGACGGAGTCCATTTTAATACCCCCCACAAAACTCTTTGCGGGGGATAAAAAGGCACCATTTCAAATTTGCCTAATATATCTGCCAAGCTCTGTTGTAAGGCTGAAATGAAGCCCACCCCTCCCTTTTGGGACTAAGTCCAAATCATTTCTATGGAAACCGGGAAAAATAAATATGCCAAAATAGCAAAAGGCACCACTTTGGGATCTGCCTCACATATCTGCCAAGTTTTGATGAAAGATATTAAGAAGTTTTCAAGTTGTGCTCCGGAAACGAAGCCCACCCGTCCCTTTTGGGACTAAGTATGAATCGTTTCCATGGAAACCGGGAAAAAATAAAAATGCCAAAAATCTGCAATAGCAAAAGGCACCACTTAAGGTTCTGTTTGATATATCAACCATGTGTTGTTGAAAATATTGAACGGTTCTTGAGTTATGCTCCGGAAACGAAGCCCATCCCTCCCTTTTTGGCTATAAGTCCAAATTGTTTCCATAAAAACCAGGAAAAATAAAAATGCCCAAAATCTGAAAATAGCAAAAGGCACCACTTAAGGTTCTGTTTGATATATCTACCAATTTTTGTTGAAAAAAATTGAACGTTTTTTGAGCTATGCTCTGGAAACAAAATGATTACGGACAGACGGACAGACGGACGGATGCCGGGGGGATAAAAATATTTTATTCAGAAATCCTAAACTACCAAAAGGCACCAGTAGACCACCAGATCTATCTATATGCCAAGTTTGATGAAGAAACATTGAACGGTTTTTTAGAGTTCTGCTCCGGAAAAGAGTACTACCACCATTTCAGTCTAAGTCAAACTTGTTGCCATGGAAATGCCAAAAATATTTTATTCAGAAATCCCAAACTACCAAAAGGCACCAGTAGACCACCAGATCTATCTATGTGCCAAGTTTGGTGAAGAAATAGTGAACGGTTTTAGAGTTGTGCTCCGGAAAAGACAAATGTGCACGGACGCACGGATGCACGGATGGAGTCCATTTTAATACCCCCCGTAAAACGAGTTGCGGGGGATAAAAAGAGTAAAGTAACTTTTTTATCTATTCTAATCATTATTCAATTAAAACATAATACTTTGTGTGTCATCACAAGTGCACCATGTTGACTGTAGTGACAGAGGGTAAGATGCATACCACGACACAAACAACATATAAAACATGCAATGTTAAACAATACTCCTTAAATCATACTGTCAACACAACACATAAACACACCAAACAACAGCACTGCCATCGTACAATGCTTGTCACTTCAAATAAATACACATCTTGTCAAGCATCCTGTCTGTCATTAAGAATAAATATTGCTTCAAATCATCCCTGAAATTGATAACGGAAACTCCCTACAGGGGTCTGGCCAAGACACAGGTGATTCCCCGAGTACACCACTTCACATGACCACATCGACCTACCCTGGAGCTCACTGTCACTGTAATTTTGCTGCTTTGGTTTTCACCATACAGTTCCCCGGTGGAGTGATCTATCAGATTCAAGAGGGTCTATCAGGCCCTTGGAGTTGAAACGGTTTGCAAACAGGTAGCCACAAAATGTACTTATCGTTTCCTTGATTGCCTCAATATAATAAATCTAAGGCACCAAGCATTATTTGAGTCCAGGGCACAGAAATCACATAAGCTATGTCCCAGTATTTCCCAAGATTAATAGTGAGTGAGTGAGTGAGTGAGTGAGTTTCACGCTGCTTTTAGCAATATTCCAGCCATATCACAGCAGGGTACACCAGAAATGGGCTTCACACAATGTAACCCATGTGGGGAATCGACCCCGGGTCTTCAGCATGACGAGCGAACACTTTAACCACTATCCTACCCCACTGCCTCCCAAGATATATAGGAGAGGGGCCCCATCAGTTATACCATAACAATACCTTCACACCAACTGGTTGTCTGTAAGATGGCATCATGGAATGGGTCTAGCAGAAATGCCTACCTTGGCCAGGCCCCAGAGGTTCGCAACACACACATACATGATAATTGTAACGACAGTACCAAAGCAATTATGACATAGGCAAGTCAGAACGAAATAATCAGAATAGTAAAAACATCGCAACAGCAAGAAGTTGTCTTACTGACTTAGATAATAAAACAACAATGTTGAAAATGGTCAGTATTTCATGGATTTCACTCCAAGCACAACCATTCACATGTTTGTCATAGAATTTCTAAACTCTTGTTGACAGGCGATGTTTTTCACAATGGCCAAAATCCATCACTATGATTGTATGAGATTCATATGTCTCCTGAATATTAACTCTGGACATTACTTATGCATTGTAAGTAGCAATGTGGAAAGACAAATAATACAAGCCAAACAAACCTTACAATCAACTTCGGCTTCAACAGTAACAAAAACTCCCATCAGCAAAATAGTTCAAGATGACTTTCTTTTATGTTTCTCATAACTTTTGGATTGGTGGTTGAACAAAGTAAAAATAGAAATACATCCTTCTGGGGTTTTTTTGTTTTGTGAATCTTTCTTAATTGTCATTCTTGTGCTATGTGCTTGATATCAAAACATTGAAAACAAAGCCACATACAGCTTGGGTTCCTGATGAAGATACTGGTAGATTAAGCCTGAGTCAGGCAGAGAAACAATTTGTGGATTTAGATATGTATAAATTTAAACACATAAATGCTTTTTAGTATGCTATTGCACATATTTAAAGATTTATTAGCATTCAAACATACAGCCATGTTACATGATCCTTATTGAATAGGTCAGTGATTAATGAAATTTCTTACATGTTCTCCAAATTTCTGGATCAAAATCCATTTATTCAGAAAGATGATTTACCATGATCATAAATAGAAATTTTATGATATGTCAGAAAATGTTGTGTCCAAAAATAGTTTCTTCTGATACTGGCACACAATAGTATCAATAGTGTTTCAGCGTCTGTTTCCATGTATCTATGCCCTACACAAATTCATACTTCATCTTATCAATACACACTGTGGGAGAATGTGGTCATCATTGGTCATACAAGTCTCACACAGTCTGTTGGGTCAAGAAACAACTTTGCTAAACTCAGACTCTCCACTCAGATACGACACCTCTCAGTGTAAAGTTCTCAGAACACCTCAACAGAAGGTCAGGTCAGCTGAACCTTGACCTTCTATCAAAATGAAGCATGCATGGATTCTCGAGCAAATCAGATGTCAGTTTTGGCTTAATTTCTTTATCACCTCAATGTGGAAACTGATGACAAACATTCCTTCAACGGTGCTTAGTTCCGGGTGTACAAGCCACAGAGCTCAGAAATAACAAGTAGTATTATCTACAAAATATACTTGCACAATCTTCATTATAAACATTTTCGAAAGGTCATTAAGTTTGTTTACAAAATACAGAAACAAGAAAGGTAAGTCTTAGTGTTTCACTCGCTCATACTGAGAATCAGGAATCCTTGTTGTCCTATTTATAACATGACCTTATATCTTCGCAAGGAGAGGTATCCCATCAAAGTAAAAGATCTGACCTTACGAGATAGGGGTAAACAAAGATCCTCCTGAGAAAAAGAAGGTGAAAGCCCATATAACATTCAAGTCTGAGAAGCCTGATGAGCAGACTGTAGACACACATCAGAACGAAGACATTCTATACACTAAGATTGCACATTATGACAATATGGCAGGTAGAGCATATATAAACATCAACAAGGCTCGTATGGAACCTGGAAAGTTCCCTGACATTTCCATAATTCCATCCCTGTTCACCATGACCTAACAGTCATTAGCAGATACCCAGCCCTAGTTGACCGTGTACAGATGATCCGGTCGCCGCAACACTAACCAGCCAGCAGGGACAATACCTGGCCTGTTTAGAATAAGGAATATTTATATTGTCTGTTCAAAGAACATGCTTCTGTCACCGAGTGACCTGTGGCACAGCATTGTTCTTTGCTAGTTTTCATATTTTATCAATAAGTCAATAGCATATATTACATGATACTGAAAATCATGGTACTAATTTATGAAACAGCTGTATTCTCTCCTAGTGGATGTACTCTGTATTGTTTTTGCCTCCATATTCCATTTTTATGCAATAAGATTCAGGATTTCACATTTTGTTAATATACTCATAGAAACAAGTAAAGGAACACATGAAAGTACAAGAGTTCCTTTATTTATTTCCAGAATTTCACTCACAGTGCAATGCATACCTTGTGAAGGAACCTGGAAAAGAATAAAGGAACACTTGTACTTTCATGTGTTCCCTTATTCGTTTCCATGAGTATATGAAGCTGGTAGTTTTTGCCAACACATTGACTTCAAATATAGTTTGTATCTTGCAACCCCTGTATCCACAGTGCAAGCATTGAGCAAACTATCTTAGGAAAAAATACTTCCCAGCCTCACAGCAGAATAAGGCAGTAACAGAGCTGAGCTTGCTGAACAAAATGTTACAAATTGTGAGAGATAACATCCATATTGGATCATCCAGCAGGCTAATGTCAGATGAAGGTTTGAAGTCTTGACAGCAAATACAGGTGAGAATGGCCATCCGTCACTGTCATCACTATTGCTCAGACCTCGTCCCTGAGTGGCCAAGTCCCACCCCCGCAGCCAGCTCTCCTCCACCCCGAGGGCCTGATGGGGACTCAGGTAGGGTTGAGAGTCTGGTCGTTCTCCAGCAGGATCAGGGTACACAGCTCCTTGTCCTCGGGGACATCCGCCTCCTCGTCAGCGATGGACCTTAGGATGTAGAAGAGTTCCTCCTGGCGGTGGTAGAACTCCTTGTAGTTGGAATTCTTCAGCACTAGCTTGGTCAGGACCAGGTAGGATGTTCGGGTCTGTGAAGTAAGGTAGAGGTGTGAGAATGTACCCAGCGATCCTGTCTGATCATGTGGATGTATGAAGACAGTCAGAAGCCTACACTAGGACTGTCACAGTTGTATATTAGGAGTGTCATGAGTGTACAAATATACAGAAAAATAGACAAGGTCAGTAAAAGCCACCACCACTACTGTTACAAGCCTACATTAGTACTGTCCCATGTCCACCCCAGTATTGTCCCATGTCCACCCCAGTATTGTCCCATGTCCACCCCAGTATTGTCCCATGTCCTCCCCAGTATTGTTCCATGTCCTCCCCAGTACTGTCCCATGTCCATCCAAGTACTGTCCCATGTCCTCCCCAGTACTGTCCCACATCCATCCCAGGACTGTCCCATGTCCTCCCCAGTACTGTCCCATGTCCACAAAGTATTGTCCCATGTCCTCCGCAGTATTGTCCAATATCCTCCCCAGTAGTGTCCCATGTCCACCCCAGTACTGTCCAGTACTGTCCCATGTCCTCCCCAGTATTGTACTGTCCCACGTCCAACCCAGTACTGTCCCATGTCCTCCCAACCATGTCAGTACTGTCCCATGTCCACCCCAGTCTGTCCCAGGACTGTCCCACCTCCCCAGTCCCATGTCCAACCCAGTACCCCATGTCCTCCCCAGTATTGTCCCATGTCTGTCCCATGTCCTCCCAGTATTGTCCCATGTCCCATCCCCCCAGTATTCCCATGTCCACCCCAGTACTGTCCCATGTCCATCCAAGTACTGTCCCATGTCCTCCCCAGTATGTGTCTACTGTCCCATGTCCGACCCAGTATTGTCCCATGTCCTCCCAGTATTGTCCCATGTCCTCCCCAGTATTGTCCCATGTCCTCCCCAGTATTGTCCCATGTCCTCCCCAGTATTGTCCCATGTCCTCCCCAGTATTGTCTCATGTCCGACCCAGTACTGTCCCATGTCCTCCCCAGTATTGTCCCATGTCCGACCCGGTACTGTCCCATGTTGACCCAGTACTGTCCCATGTCCACCCCAGTATTGTCTCATGTCCACCCCAGTACTGTCCCATGTCCTCCCCAGTATTGTCCCATGTCCTCCCCAGTACTGTCCCATGTCCACCCCAGTATTGTCCCATGTCCACCCCAGTATTGTCTCATGTCCACCCCAGTACTGTTCCATGTCCGACCCAGTACTGTCCCATGTCCGACCCAGTACTTTCCCATGTCCACCCCAGTACTGTCCCATGTCCTCCCCAATATTGTCCCATGTCCTCCCCAGTATTGTCCTATGTTCTCCCCAGTATTGTCCCATGTCCACTCCAGTATTGTCTAGTGTTGGGAATTGGTTGAAATCTCACAATTGATGATTGCTTCATTACCAACGAACAATCATCCAAAAAAATTGGTTAGCGTCATTTTTCAGATTTTCCTATCCAGGTTGTTATTGCAGATATGTATAACATGATGCAACTTGCTACTTTAAAGTGATGACTAATATATCATGAACATAAACTTCCTTGAGTCTTAGAGAAATATTCAGCCATGGCTTTTCAGTTAGTGAAGTGAGTTTTCTAAGAATTAAACACGTTTTCAGGCCCTGACAACTTCTAAGATATGTTCCATTGCCAAGTTTTTCAAAGACTAAAACAGTAGTTCCAAAATCGTTTATGTTCGATTATGAGAAAATGTGATTGATTGCTTGGTCGTTTGGTCACTGTGACCAATCTTTGATTATTTCAATTAATCGGAACACCACTAGTATTGTCCCATGTCCACATTCTGACTGTCATGAACTTACACCAGGAGCTTTACGTTTGGAGATTGCATTTATATTGCATGAAACTGTGTGGTTCACCTCGACATTTCAACAACACGGAGAATGCACAACTGATTAAAACGTCCGGATACATTTTTATTTACTGTAGTGAAACACATAACTATCGAGTCGATATCACATAGTACTATTCCACCGATTCAATGTTGGAATAAGTGTGAAACAACATACCTTTTGATAATCAAGGAAAGGATAATAGCGAATGGTGTCAGCGTGCGATTAACAATGGCCCTGACCTTTTCATTAACTCAAGAGCAGATAATTTAACTTTATACGCAAGATGGGAGTGGTTTCCTTGGCATATGCCGTTGCCGTACAGTCTCTCATGCCCAATTGCAGAGCTCAACATACTGATATCTCTTTTCGGGTCATGGAGTGATTTTGTCTTAGTTTATCATTAAAGTAATCTACAATTAGATACAAGTTAGCGTGCAAAATCAAGTTTCTTTCTCATCCATAAATCTAAATTTGATTATGCAATTTAAATATATACAAGTAGTCATCAAATAGGGATATACACATGATGGGGTATTAAAATTTTCTGTTTCAAAAGAATTTCACTTTAAGAAAAATATTAATCAACTAATAGGGTTAAATAATTAATATACTGTGAATCGTATTTAATAACTACTCTCTTGAAATATTATTTAATGCACGTATTTCCCTGCCAAGCATTCTTTACAACACTTCTGTAGCCATTGTTTTATTGTATTTTTATTCTAGGTTATATTTAGGATTTTACCCTCCCCTCCCCAACAGCTGCGTATTAAACAACGTCTCATTGACAACCATTGGCAAATCATACATTTAGGTGTTATATCATAAGGAAATACTGTTTATATTTGTTATTTTAAGTTCCATAATTAAGTCACTAAATCTAGATCCAAATTTATTCATGTATTTTTTAGTATTTCAGTATTTTCATAAAACATGGGTAGGTATTTCTGTTGTTGCAATATCACATTCTCAGTTCAGGACTGCCCCAAATGTACACCATAACTGTCATATCCCTACACAAGGACATTAATGAGTCACAAACTTACACTAAAATGTCACAAACCTTACACTACAAATGTCACAAGCCTTGACTACAAATGTCACAAGCCTTGACTTCAAATGTCACAAGCCTCCACTACAAATGTCACAAGCCTCCACTACAAATGTCACAAGCCTCCACTGTCGCAAATCTAGACCACAAATGTCAAGCCTACACCATATTCAGATGTAGGCTACCATTGTCACTGTTTGGAATCAAACCAAGGCCATCAAAACAAGAAGTCAACTGTTTTCACCACTAGGCTATTGCACCAGCACATCTCCACTGATGAATACATCAGTCCTATCATCCAGTGCGAAAGACAGCATGTAAAGTTTACCAGATCTCCTGCAGACAGGTTGGCTAGCTGTCTGATGATGATGTCGATGAGGACCATCGCGTCGTTGGTGTAGAGCAGGTTGGCGGTGCCAGGGCAACTATACAGGTCTTGCATAAACTTTATCACAGAGTGGGGAGGTTCAGGCAGGTGCTCAAACATGCGGACAGGGTCATCTGCAATAATCAACCACAACATCCATTTTGGGGTGTTCCTGAAATAGTCGTCTCAGTTGTTTCTCAATGTGTCTGGGCCAAAATAATCTCCATCCATACTTTGATTGTCCTAAATTTGTAATCCAAAACGATAGCAGTACCAGTATCTAAAACCAATCATAAACATGTCCTTCAGTGGAGTTTAAATCAGGGGCAGGTTATCGCAATGTGAAACATCTGACAGAACAGGGTCAAGAATTTTCCTGGGTCTTGGTAGAAGAAATGTTACTGATCAGTTGATCCTGTAGTCAACCACGTATCCAACCCTCCATTCATTTGTACCTGTACTACCTGTATTTCCTGCCATCACCTACCTCCTCTGTTAAAGAGCAGCATCAGCTTCTCAGTGAGTGTCTTGGCGTTCTGCTGTTCACACAGGGACTGAATGACGATGTTGTGGCTGACATCCTCGAAGTGCAGATTAAATGCAAGGATCAAGGTGATGAGCATGTCCGTGGCCTGTTCATCATGCTCCACGGATGGAGGGGTCTCGATCAGGTCAAGGACGTGAGAAATGAAAGACTGGTTCAGGTGATCTGAGATAGAGGGAAGTTGAATATTAGATTCACAGGTAAGCAATAAAAAGTGCATAATGAATGTTCAGTTCTATGTGATGACCAGGTACAACTGATGTTTAGGTACAAGTGATGTTAAGGTACGAGTGATGATCAGGTGCAAGTGATGTTCAGGTACAAGTGATGATCAGGTAAAAGTAATGATCTGGTACAAATGATGTTCAGGTACAAGTGATGATCAGGTACAAGTGATGATCAGGTACAAGTGATCAGGTACAAGTGATGATCAGGTACAAGTGATGCTCAGGTAAAGTAATGATCTGGTACAAGTGATGTTCAGGTACAAGTGATGTTCAGGTAAAAGTAATGATCTGGTACAAGTGATGATCAGGTACAAGTGATGATCAGGTACAAGTGATGATCAGGTACAAGTGATGATCAGGTACAAGTGATGATCAGGTACAAGTGATGATCAGGTAAAGTAATGATCTGGTACAAGTGATGTTCAGGTACAAGTGATGGTCAGGTACAAGTGATGTTCAGGTAAAAGTAATGATCTGGTACAAGTGATGCTCAGGTACAAGTGATGCTCAGGGAAAAGTAATGATCTGGTACAAGTGACCAACACATAAAATAAGTGATGACAAAATACTTACCATGAATATTAGCAGGTACATGCTCCCCTGTAGAAAACAACATTGCCATGACTAGAGACACATAGCACAATCTTGTGACATCTGAAAGACAGAATGGAGATGAATCAACATCCTAAAGCAATAGTGAGGCTTCTTGTGGGACCTTCAAACACAAATCAGGAAACACTTATGTATAATGTGTAATGTTATCATAAAGCAATAGTGAGGCTTCTTGTGGGACCTTCAAACACAAATCAGGAAACACTTATGTATAATGTGTAATGTTATCATAAAGCAATAGTGAGGCTTCTTGTGGGACCTTCAAACACAAATCAGGAAACACTTATGTATAATGTGTAATGTTATCATAAAGCAATAGTGAGGCTTCTTGTGGGACCTTCAAACACAAATCAGGAAACACTTATGTATAATGTGTAATGTTATCATAAAGCAATAGTGAGGCTTCTTGTGGGACCTTCCAACACAAATCAGGAAACACTTATGTATAATGTGTAATGTTATCATAAAGCAATAGTGAGGCTTCTTGTGGGACCTTCAAACACAAATCAGGAAACACTTATGTATAATGTGTAATGTTATCATAAAGCAATAGTGAGGCTTCTTGTGGGACCTTCCAAACACAAATCAGGAAACACTTATGTATAATGTGTAATGTTATCATAAAGCAATAGTGAGGCTTCTTGTGGGACCTTCAAACACAAATCAGGAAACACTTATGTATAATGTGTAATGTTATCATAAAGCAATAGTGAGGCTTCTTGTGGGACCTTCAAACACAAATCAGGAAACACTTATGTATAATGTGTAATGTTATCATAAAGCAATAGTGAGGCTTCTTGTGGGACCTTCCAACACAAATCAGGAAACACTTATGTATAATGTGTAATGTTATCATAAAGCAATAGTGAGGCTTCTTGTGGGACCTTCCAACACAAATCAGGAAACACTTATGTATAATGTGTAATGTTATCATAAAGCAATAGTGAGGCTTCTTGTGGGACCTTCCAACACAAATCAGGAAACACTTATGTATAATGTGTAATGTTATCATAAAAGCAATAGTGAGGCTTCTTGTGGGACCTTCCAACACAAATCAGGAAACACTTATGTATAATGTGTAATGTTATCATAAAGCAATAGTGAGGCTTCTTGTGGGACCTTCCAACACAAATCAGGGAAACACTTATGTATAATGTGTAATGTTATCATAAAGCAATAGTGAGGCTTCTTGTGGGACCTTCCAACACAAATCAGGAAACACTTATGTATAATGTGTAATGTTATCATAAAAGCAATAGTGAGGCTTCTTGTGGGACCTTCCAACACAAATCAGGAAACACTTATGTATAATGTGTAATGTTATCATAAAGCAATAGTGAGGCTTCTTGTGGGACCTTCCAAACACAAATCAGGAAACACTTATGTATAATGTGTAATGTTATCATAAAGCAATAGTGAGGCTTCTTGTGGGACCTTCAACACACAAATCAGGAAACACTTATGTATAATGTGTAATGTTATCATAAAGCAATAGTGAGGCTTCTTGTGGGACCTTCCAACACAAATCAGGAAACACTTATGTATAATGTGTAATGTTATCATAAAGCAATAGTGAGGCTTCTTGTGGGACCTTCCAACACAAATCAGGAAACACTTATGTATAATGTGTAATGTTATCATAAAAGCAATAGTGAGGGCTTCTTGTGGGACCTTCCAACACAAATCAGGAAACACTTATGTATAATGTGTAATGTTATCATAAAGCAATAGTGAGGCTTCTTGTGGGACCTTCCAACACAAATCAGGAAACACTTATGTATAATGTGTAATGTTATCATAAAGCAATAGTGAGGCTTCTTGTGGGACCTTCCAACACAAATCAGGAAACACTTATGTATAATGTGTAATGTTATCATAAAGCAATAGTGAGGCTTCTTGTGGGACCTTCCAACACAAGGGAAACACTTATGTATAATGTGTAATGTTATCATAAAGCAATAGTGAGGCTTCTTGTGGGACCTTCCAACACAAATCAGGAAACACTTATGTATAATGTGTAATGTTATCATAAAAAGCAATAGTGAGGCTTCTTGTGGGACCTTCCAACACAAGGAAACACTTATGTATAATGTGTAATGTTATCATAAAAGCAATAGTGAGGCTTCTTGTGGGACCCACACAAATCAATCAGGAAACACTTTATGTATAATGTGTAATGTTATCATAAAACAATAGTGAGGCTTCTTGTGGGACCTTCCAACACAAATCAGGAAACACTTATGTATAATGTGTAATGTTATCATAAAAGCAATAGTGAGGCTTCTTGTGGGACCTTCCAACACAAGGGAAACACTTATGTATAATGTGTAATGTTATCATAAAAAGCAATAGTGAGGCTTCTTGTGGGACCTTCCAACACAAATCAGGAAACACTTAAGTATAATGTGTAATGTTATCATAAAAGCAATAGTGAGGCTTCTTGTGGGACCTTCCAACACAAGGAAACACTTATGTATAATGTGTAATGTTATCATAAAAGCAATGGTGAGGCTTCTTGTGGGACCTTCCAACACAAATCAGGAAACACTTATGTATAAATGTAATGTTATCATAAAGCAATAGTGAGGCTTCTTGTGGGACCTTCCAACACAAATCAGGAAACACTTATGTATAATGTGTAATGTTATCATAAAGCAATAGTGAGGCTTCTTGTGGGACCTTCCAACACAAATCAGGAAACACTTATGTATAATGTGTAATGTTATCATAAAGCAATAGTGAGGCTTCTTGTGGGACCTTCCAACACAAGGAAACACTTATGTATAATGTGCAATGTTATCATAAAGCAATAGTGAGGCTTCTTGTGGGACCTTCCAACACAAATCAGGAAACACTTATGTATAATGTGTAATGTTATCATAAAGCAATAGTGAGGCTTCTTGTGGGACCTTCCAACACAAGGAAACACTTATGTATAATGTGTAATGTTATCATAAAGCAATAGTGAGGCTTCTTGTGGGACCTTCCAACACAAGGAAACACTTATGTATAATGTGTAATGTTATCATAAAGCAATAGTGAGGCTTCTTGTGGGACCTTCAACACAAAGGAAACACTTATGTATAATGTGTAATGTTATCATAAAGCAATAGTGAGGCTTCTTGTGGGACCTTCCAACACAAGGAAACACTTATGTATAATGTGTAATGTTATCATAAAGCAATAGTGAGGCTTCTTGTGGGACCTTCCAACACAAATCAGGAAACACTTAAGTATAATGTGTAATGTTATCATAAAAGCAATAGTGAGGCTTCTTAATAGTGAGGTTTCTTGTGGGACCTTCCAAGACAAGGAAACACTTATGTATAATGTGTAATGTTATCATAAAGCAATAGTGAGGCTTCTTGTGGGACCTTCCAACACAAGGAAACACTTATGTATAATGTGTAATGTTATCATAAAGCAATAGTGAGGCTTCTTGTGGGACCTTCCAACACAAGGAAACACTTATGTATAATGTGTAATGTTATCATAAAGCAATAGTGAGGCTTCTTGTGGGACCTTCCAACACAAATCAGGAAACACTTATGTATAATGTGTAATGTTATCATAAAGCAATAGTGAGGCTTCTTGTGGGACCTTCCAACACAAGGAAACACTTATGTATAATGTGTAATGTTATCATAAAGCAATAGTGAGGCTTCTTGTGGGACCTTCCAACACAAATCAGGGAAACACTTATGTATAATGTGTAATGTTATCATAAAGCAATAGTGAGGCTTCTTGTGGGACCTTCCAACACAAATCAGGAAACACTTATGTATAATGTGTAATGTTATCATAAAGCAATAGTGAGGCTTCTTGTGGGACCTTCCAACACAAATCAGGAAACACTTATGTATAATGTGTAATGTTATCATAAAGCAATAGTGAGGCTTCTTGTGGGACCTTCCAACACAAAGGAAACACTTATGTATAATGTGTAATGTTATCATAAAAGCAATAGTGAGGCTTCTTGTGGGACCTTCCAACACAAATCAGGAAACACTTATGTATAATGTGTAATGTTATCATAAAAGCAATAGTGAGGCTTCTTGTGGGACCTTCCAACACAAATCAGGGAAACACTTATGTATAATGTGTAATGTTATCATAAAGCAATAGTGAGGCTTCTTGTGGGACCTTCCAACACAAATCAGGAAACACTTATGTGTAATGTGTAATGTTATCATAAAGCAATAGTGAGGCTTCTTGTGGGACCTTCCAACACAAATCAGGAAACACTTATGTATAATGTGTAATGTTATCATAAAGCAATAGTAGAGGCTTCTTGTGGGACCTTCCAACACAAATCAGGAAACACTTATGTATAATGTGTAATGTTATCATAAAGCAATAGTGAGGCTTCTTGTGGGACCTTCCAACACAAATCAGGAAACACTTATGTATAATGTGTAATGTTATCATAAAGCAATAGTGAGGCTTCTTGTGGGACCTTCCAACACAAATCAGGAAACACTTATGTATAATGTGTAATGTTATCATAAAGCAATAGTGAGGCTTCTTGTGGGACCTTCCAACACAAATCAGGAAACACTTATGTATAATGTGTAATGTTATCATAAAAGCAATAGTGAGGCTTCTTGTGGGACCTTCCAACACAAATCAGGAAACACTTATGTATAATGTGTAATGTTATCATAAAAGCAATAGTGAGGCTTCTTGTGGGACCTTCCAACACAAATCAGGAAACACTTATGTATAATGTGTAATGTTATCATAAAGCAATAGTGAGGCTTCTTGTGGGACCTTCCAACACAAATCAGGAAACACTTATATATATAATGTGTAATGTTATCATAAAGCAATAGTGAGGCTTCTTGTGGGACCTTCCAACACAAATCAGGAAACACTTATGTATAATGTGTAATGTTATCATAAAGCAATAGTGAGGCTTCTTGTGGGACCTTCCAACACAAATCAGGAAACACTTATGTATAATGTGTAATGTTATCATAAAGCAATAGTGAGGCTTCTTGTGGGACCTTCCAACACACATCAGGAAACACTTATGTATAATGTGTAATGTTATCATAAAGCAATAGTGAGGCTTCTTGTGGACCTTCCAACACAAATCAGGAAACACTTATGTATAATGTGTAATGTTATCATAAAGCAATAGTGAGGCTTCTTGTGGGACCTTCCAACACAAATCAGGAAACACTTATGTATAATGTGTAATGTTATCATAAAACAATAGTGAGGCTTCTTGTGGGACCTTCCAACACAAGGAAACACTTATGTATAATGTGTAATGTTATCATAAAAACAATAGTGAGGCTTCTTGTGGGACCTTCCAACACAAGGAAACACTTATGTATAATGTGTAATGTTATCATAAAGCAATAGTGAGGCTTCTTGTGGGACCTTCCAACACAAATCAGGAAACACTTATGTATAATGTGTAATGTTATCATAAAGCAATAGTGAGGCTTCTTGTGGGACCTTCCAACACAAGGAAACACTTATGTATAATGTGTAATGTTATCATAAAGCAATAGTGAGGCTTCTTGTGGGACCTTCCAACACAAGGAAACACTTATGTATAATGTGTAATGTTATCATAAAGCAATAGTGAGGCTTCTTGTGGGACCTTCCAAGACAAGGAAACACTTATGTATAATGTGTAATGTTATCATAAAGCAATAGTGAGGCTTCTTGTGGGACCTTCCAACACAAGGAAACACTTATGTATAATGTGTAATGTTATCATAAAGCAATAGTGAGGCTTCTTGTGGGACCTTCCAACACAAGGAAACACTTATGTATAATGTGTAATGTTATCATATAAAGCAATAGTGAGGCTTCTTGTGGGACCTTCCAACACAAATCAGGAAACACTTATGTATAATGTGTAATGTTATCATAAAAGCAATAGTGAGGTTTTCTTGTGGGACCTTCCAAGAGAAGGAAACACTTATGTATAATGTGTAATGTTATCATAAAAGCAATAGTGAGGCTTCTTGTGGGACCTTCCAAGACAAGGAAACACTTATGTATAATGTGTAATGTTATCATAAAGCAATAGTGAGGCTTCTTGTGGGACCTTCCAACACAAAGGAAACACTTATGTATAATGTGTAATGTTATCATAAAGCAATAGTGAGGCTTCTTGTGGGACCTTCCAACACAAAGGAAACACTTATGTATAATGTGTAATGTTATCATAAAGCAATAGTGACGCTTCTTGTGGGACCTTCCAACACAAGGAAACACTTATGTATAATGTGTAATGTTATCATAAAGCAATAGTGAGGCTTCTTGTGGGACCTTCCAACACAAGGAAACACATGTATAATGTGTAATGTTATCATAAAGCAATAGTGAGGCTTCTTGTGGGACCTTCCAACACAAGGAAACACTTATATATAATGTGTAATGTTATCATAAAGCAATAGTGAGGCTTCTTGTGGGACCTTCCAACACAAGGAAACACTTATGTATAATGTGTAATGTTATCATAAAGCAATAGTGAGGCTTCTTGTGGGACCTTCCAACACAAATCAGGAAACACTTATGTATAATGTGTAATGTTATCATAAAGCAATAGTGAGGCTTCTTGTGGGACCTTCCAACACAAATCAGGAAACACTTATGTATAATGTGTAATGTTATCATAAAGCAATAGTGAGGCTTCTTGTGGGACCTTCCAACACAAATCAGGAAACACTTATGTATAATGTGTAATGTTATCATAAAGCAATAGTGAGGCTTCTTGTGGGACCTTCCAACACAAGGAAACACTTATGTATAATGTGTAATGTTATCATAAAGCAATAGTGAGGCTTCTTGTGGGACCTTCCAACACAAATCAGGAAACACTTATGTATAATGTGTAATGTTATCATAAAGCAATAGTGAGGCTTCTTGTGGGACCTTCCAACACAAGGAAACACTTATGTATAATGTGTAATGTTATCATAAAGCAATAGTGAGGCTTCTTGTGGGACCTTCCAACACAAATCAGGAAACACTTATGTATAATGTGTAATGTTATCATAAAAGCAATAGTGAGGCTTCTTGTGGGACCTTCCAACACAAATCAGGGAAACACTTATGTATAATGTGTAATGTTATCATAAAGCAATAGTGAGGCTTCTTGTGGGACCTTCCAACACAAATCAGGAAACACTTATGTATAATGTGTAATGTTATCATAAAGCAATAGTGAGGCTTCTTGTGGGACCTTCCAACACAAATCAGGAAACACTTATGTATAATGTGTAATGTTATCATAAAGCAATAGTGAGGCTTCTTGTGGGACCTTCCAACACAAATCAGGAAACACTTATGTATAATGTGTAATGTTATCATAAAAGCAATAGTGAGGCTTCTTGTGGGACCTTCCAACACAAATCAGGAAACACTTATGTATAATGTGTAATGTTATCATAAAGCAATAGTGAGGCTTCTTGTGGGACCTTCCAACACAAATCAGGAAACACTTATGTATAATGTGTAATGTTATCATAAAGCAATAGTGAGGCTTCTTGTGGGACCTTCCAACACAAGGAAACACTTATGTATAATGTGTAATGTTATCATAAAGCAATAGTGAGGCTTCTTGTGGGACCTTCCAACACAAGGAAACACTTATGTATAATAATGTAATGTTATCATAAAGCAATAGTGAGGCTTCTTGTGGGACCTTCCAACACAAATCAGGAAACACTTATGTATAATGTGTAATGTTATCATAAAGCAATAGTGAGGCTTCTTGTGGGACCTTCCAACACAAATCAGGAAACACTTATGTATAATGTGTAATGTTATCATAAAGCAATAGTGAGGCTTCTTGTGGGACCTTCCAACACAAATCAGGAAACACTTATGTATAATGTGTAATGTTATCATAAAGCAATAGTGAGGCTTCTTGTGGGACCTTCCAACACAAATCAGGAAACACTTATGTATAATGTGTAATGTTATCATAAAGCAATAGTGAGGCTTCTTGTGGGACCTTCCAACACAAATCAGGAAACACTTATGTATAATGTGTAATGTTATCATAAAAGCAATAGTGAGGCTTCTTGTGGGACCTTCCAACACAAATCAGGAAACACTTATGTATAATGTGTAATGTTATCATAAAAAGCAATAGTGAGGCTTCTTGTGGGACCTTCCAACACAAATCAGGAAACACTTATGTATAATGTGTAATGTTATCATAAAAGCAATAGTGAGGCTTCTTGTGGGACCTTCCAACACAAATCAGGAAACACTTATGTATAATGTGTAATGTTATCATAAAAGCAATAGTGAGGCTTCTTGTGGGACCTTCCAACACAAATCAGGGAAACACTTATGTATAATGTGTAATGTTATCATAAAAGCAATAGTGAGGCTTCTTGTGGGACCTTCCAACACAAATCAGGAAACACTTATGTATAATGTGTAATGTTATCATAAAGCAATAGTGAGGCTTCTTGTGGGACCTTCCAACACAAATCAGGAAACACTTATGTATAATGTGTAATGTTATCATAAAGCAATAGTGAGGCTTCTTGTGGGACCTTCCAACACAAATCAGGGAAACACTTATGTATAATGTGTAATGTTATCATAAAGCAATAGTGAGGCTTCTTGTGGGACCTTCCAACACAAATCAGGAAACACTTATGTATAATGTGTAATGTTATCATAAAGCAATAGTGAGGCTTCTTGTGGGACCTTCCAACACAAATCAGGAAACACTTATGTATAATGTGTAATGTTATCATAAAGCAATAGTGAGGCTTCTTGTGGGACCTTCAAACACAAATCAGGAAACACTTATGTATAATGTGTAATGTTATCATAAAGCAATAGTGAGGCTTCTTGTGGGACCTTCAAACACAAATCAGGAAACACTTATGTATAATGTGTAATGTTATCATAAAAGCAATAGTGAGGCTTCTTGTGGGACCTTCAAACACAAATCAGGAAACACTTATGTATAATGTGTAATGTTATCATAAAGCAATAGTGAGGCTTCTTGTGGGACCTTCAAACACAAATCAGGAAACACTTATGTATAATGTGTAATGTTATCATAAAGCAATAGTGAGGCTTCTTGTGGGACCTTCAAACACAAATCAGGAAACACTTATGTATAATGTGTAATGTTATCATAAAGCAATAGTGAGGCTTCTTGTGGGACCTTCAAACACAAATCAGGAAACACTTATGTATAATGTGTAATGTTATCATAAAGCAATAGTGAGGCTTCTTGTGGGACCTTCAAACACAAATCAGGAAACACTTATGTATAATGTGTAATGTTATCATAAAGCAATAGTGAGGCTTCTTGTGGGACCTTCAAACACAAATCAGGAAACACTTATGTATAATGTGTAATGTTATCATAAAGCAATAGTGAGGCTTCTTGTGGGACCTTCAAACACAAATCAGGAAACACTTATGTATAATGTGTAATGTTATCATAAAGCAATAGTGAGGCTTCTTGTGGGACCTTCAAACACAAATCAGGAAACACTTATGTATAATGTGTAATGTTATCATAAAGCAATAGTGAGGCTTCTTGTGGGACCTTCAAACACAAATCAGGAAACACTTATGTATAATGTGTAATGTTATCATAAAGCAATAGTGAGGCTTCTTGTGGGACCTTCAAACACAAATCAGGAAACACTTATGTATAATGTGTAATGTTATCATAAAGCAATAGTGAGGCTTCTTGTGGGACCTTCAAACACAAATCAGGAAACACTTATGTATAATGTGTAATGTTATCATAAAGCAATAGTGAGGCTTCTTGTGGGACCTTCAAACACAAATCAGGAAACACTTATGTATAATGTGTAATGTTATCATAAAGCATAAATTTGTTTCATAAGGTTAATTTCCCAACAAATATAACACAAAAAGTCATTTTAAATATTTTCAATAAAACACATCATGTTTAATTTATTTCCTTATATGGCTGGCTTATATGAAAACATAGCAGAACAAACTTATGAATTGGTCTGATAACAACAGTGTTGATCATGAAAACATCATAATGTTGTGAAGCTTACCATCGGACTTGCTCTGAATGTCCTCCCCCAGCTCGAGAGGCAGGACCGAGAACAGAAGCATGGTGATCGCCACCTTGTCCAGGCCGCTCATAGCCCCAAACACCTTCAGCAGCAGCAACCGAATACTCAGTCGGGTCTCCTGGCAACAAGAACAGGCTTGACATGATGGCTGCTTCTAAATGAACCTCAAAACAATACCTCATTTTTCAACAACAGCATACCAGTGTTCCCCATAAAGAGTGTTCTCCTATAGTATCTTAATCTATGTACCCTTTGACTGTAATTTTTGAAAACAAAATACTGTAAGTGAAACTGAATTGAAACAATATTGACCTGATGAAATTCTTCATGACCTAATGTTGTAATTTGAAAACAAAACTGGAATTAAAATTCATACATAAATTTACATACAGCATGTTTAATTTATGGAAACTATATATAACTTACCATTTGGTAATATTGCACCAGGTTATGTACATATTCATAGTTATCTTGAGCAATAGCTTTCCTGCATATTGAAGGCTTGGCATTTTCCTGCAGAAAACAAATAGTTCTATGTGAGAAAAACAGCCTCAAGATATGTCAGTCCTAATCTGTATTCAACTACAATGCTGAAAAATCTCCCCACTTACTAAGATCTCAGGAACAAAATTTCAGCAAAAAGTAAAAAACATCATCAAATATGATATTAATAAATTGTGTGACGGACTTTGTTAACTCTGCTAGTTGATGTCCACTATAGTTTGACTGTTTTAGTCACTGTTCCAGGACTATGATCATAACTGGAAAGTTCTCCACAGTAAAGGTTTTGTCTCATTATTCCCAGTCCTGGACGATTGTGCATGGTGTATATTGAGCATGCCTACAGAAGCCAGTAGAGATATTTGGATCTTACCAATATGGAAAGTAGTTCCTGGAGGTACTCCTTGATGATTGACTCATCCTCGTGGAGAGCCCAGCTTCGTTGTTGAGAGTCGTCCTTACATGATGTGAGTTCTGAGAATATCACCTCCAGTCTTGATGCATCCCTACTGCCCACCTCCTGAACCTGATCTGCCTGTAGACATACATCAGCTGAACATCTACACACATGACCATCTAACTGACATAATGATGCATCCCTACTGCCCACCTCCTGAACCTGATCTGCCTGTAGACATACATCAGCTGAACATCTACACACATGACCATCTAACTGACATAATGATGCATCCCTACTGCCCACCTCCTGAACCTGATCTGCCTGTAGATGGGTGACATACATCAGCTGAACATCTACACACATGACCATCCAGCTGACATAATGATGCATCCCTACTGCCCACCTCCTGAACCTGATCTGCCTGTAGACATACATCAGCTGAACATCTACACACATGACCATCTAACTGACATAATGATGCATCCCTACTGCACACCTCCTGAACCTGATCTGCCTGTAGACATACATCAGCTGAACATCTACACACATGACCATCTAACTGACATAATGATGCATCCCTACTGCCCACCTCCTGAACCTGATCTGCCTGTAGACATACATCAGCTGAACATCTACACACATGACCATCTAACTGACATAATGATGCATCCCTACTGCACACCTCCTGAACCTGATCTGCCTGTAGATGGGTGACATACATCAGCTGAACATCTACACACATGACCATCTAACTGACATAATGATGCATCCCTACTGCGAACATCTACACACATGACCACCTGACTAATGATGCATCTACTGCTGACATAATGATGCATCCTACTGCCCATCCTGAAAGACCTGATCTTGCCTGTAGATGGGTGACATGCTGATCCACACGCGACTGAACATCTCCCCTGCACACCTGAACCATCTGTAGATGGGTGACATACATCAGCTGAACATCTACACACATGACCATCTAGCAGCTACATAATGAGGCATCCCTACTGCCCACCTCCTGAACCTGATCTGCCTGTAGACATACATCAGCTGAACATCTACACACATGACCATCTAGCTGACATAATGATGCATCCCTACTGCCCTGATCCACCTCCTGAACCTGATCTGCCTGTAGACATGTAGACATCATCAGCTGAACATCTACACACATGACCATCCAGCTGACATAATGATGCATCCCTACTGCCCACCTCCTGAACCTGATCCCTGTAGACCTGATCTGAACATCTACACATGACCATCAGCTGAACATCTACACACCTCCTGAACCTGACCATCTACATCAGCTGAACATCTAATGATGCATCCCTGACATGCATCCCTACTGCCCACCTCCTGAACCTGATCTGCCTGTAGACATATACATCAGCTGAACATCTACACACATGACCATCTAACTGACATAATGATGCATCCCTACTGCCTACACACCTCCTGAACCTGATCTGCCTGTAGATGGGTGACATACATCAGCTGAACATCTACACACATGACCATCTAACTGACATAATGATGCATCCCTACTGCCCACCTCCTGACCTGCTGCCTGTAGATGGGTGACACCAGCTGAACCTGAACCTGATCTGCCTGTAGACACATGACCATCTAACTGACATACATCAGCTGAACATCTACACACATGACCATCTAACTGACATAATGATGCATCCCTACTGCCCACCTCCTGAACCTGATCTGCCTGTAGACATACATCAGCTGAACATCTACACACATGACCATCTAACTGACATAATGATGCATCCCTACTGCCCACCTCCTGAACCTGATCTGCCTGTAGATGGGTGACATACATCAGCTGAACATCTACACACATGACCATCTAACTGACATAATGATGCATCCCTACTGCCCACCTCCTGAACCTGATCTGCCTGTAGATGGGTGACATACATCAGCTGAACATCTACACACATGACCATCCAGCTGACATAATGATGCACACCTGCTGCTGACAGTTACCACACATCTTTGGAACAGACTAAAGAGATAGTCACACATCAGTGTAACTCTCCTAAATATGTTGGCAACAGTCTGAGGTCAAGAGGCGTCAAATATCAAGTTATGAAATGTTGCTGTCAATATTGCTATTAAAACAATTCAAACAGATGTTTTGACTCCCACAAGAAACCAAAACTATACCAAGTTTTATTGTATTTTTGTAAAAATAATGCTCAAGTAATGGCCATAATAGCTTTTTCAATATGCTTGCCAATGGTGACATGTAAACAAATAGAACAATTAATTCACAAATTGTTGGCTACCAAACACATTTGGTTTCCCAAATGTGCTAAATTTCTGTGTTTTAAATACACCCTCTCTCTTTCCGAAAAGCTGTATCTACCCTTGTTATTCATACTCAGGAAGTATTGTAGCCACCTAATTCCCCACTATCACTAACAACATTTACACATACAGGCAACCTATTCTGTTACAGATCTCCCATGGTCCTTGAATTGAGATTCAAGTCTGTTAAAATGCGGGAGAAAAGTTCTGCGTGATTATCAGAACATTAACAATCACAACTCTTGATTTAGTCGACGAACAACAGTAGTATATAAAGCAAAATATTGTAAATGGTTGCATGTTCATACAGTAGCATACAAGCTCGTACGGTTCATATAGAGTAGTTATATTAATGAACAAAGCATGGGTTGCTGAAGACCAATTCTTACCCTGACCTTCACAGAGTCAGTCAACAGAAGTAAGTTTGAGTGTCCCACATGGGTTGGATAATTCCATATATTTCATATTAAACATATATTTCCCAAGAACTGATTAATATGTGATAATCTCAAGTGAACTGGGCGACTGTGGGATCACATCTGTTAGCTTCATTTTGCTCAGTCGAATGGTCACGACCATCAAGTAGATACTGGAGACAAGGTATTGACTTTGAGAAAACCAGAATCTATTGTACTGTATATGCCATATTGTACATATAAATCATATCAGTGACAGATTAGGCTGTTTTAAGTGTTACTCACCAACAAAACCGAGTTTTCTCTAGGGGGAGCTGGTGCATGGTTTTGCTTGCTGGATGCTGGCTTGTCATTCTTTTCTTGGGCTGTGGCAGAAACTATTCCAAAACATGTATAAGAAAGTGCAACTTTATACATGTTACATTGCACATGTTGTAATACTACAGTGCACTGTTTAATTCGGACCGGCTTGGGACTGACTAAAAAGTCAGCAGTCTGAGGTACACAGATTTTATTGGAGTTATCTCCCTTCGATGAGCATATGATTGTGCATGAAACACATATTACATGAATGCGTATAAAGACGAAACACTTGATGTCCTAAGTATCTGGTATTTGTCGGCCAAGTCTTTCTGTAAAATCTTTGGAATAGCTTCAGAATCATTGATTAGATTTATCTTGGTTACAAGTCACAATTCACTACGCGGGCGTTTTCGTGGTCGCTCAGACATTTTGACCTGATTTGATATCACACTGTGTGTGAAGGCCTCTTAAATGCATAGTGACATTGACACTGAGTTTACATGATCATCTCAATTATAGTTTACAAATTAGTGTTAATCGCATCAAAGGTAAATAAGCGTTCACCGCTAGACCAAGCAGTCTTGGCCAAGCGGACTTCCTGCTCAGTAAATAAGACAAAATACACAAACCAATAAACGGATTGTTTATTCAAAATTTATTGGCCAAGCGGACTACCTGCTCAGTCCGGATTATAAAGAAATGTTTTTACGTGTAACTACCTTTTCGGGCTGACACTATGGTCCGAAATCCGAAATAATGAGAGTCCGAGATACAGAGCTTTTTCATTATGACAACAAAGAGGGATTATGTCGGGACCGTAAGTTCAGTCTTGTTTATACAGCAATCAGACAGAGTCTGAGTTTGACTGTATATTGACACTATGTTAACAGTAAGTGAGTGAGAGAGTTGAGTTTTACGCCGTACTCAGCAATATTCCAGCTATATGGTGGCGGTCTGTAAATAATCGAGTCTGGACCAGACAATCCAGTGATCAACAGCATGAGCATCGATCTGCGCAATTGGGAACCGATGACATGTGTCAACCAAGTCAGCGAGCCTGACCACCTGATCCCGTTAGTCGCCTCTTATGACAAGCATAGTCACCTTTTGTGGCAAGCCTGGGTTGCTGAAGACCTATTCTACCCGATCTTCACGGGTCAAACTATCTTAACAAGTAACACAAATATGGTATGTTTAACGCAGCAACCCTTTTGATGTATGAGCAGATTCAAGTTGCTAACGGACATGCATATGATGCCAGTGTTTAAATAAAAATCTGATAATTAATTTATCGTGACTATTCTGGCCTGAAGTTGAATATATTGAATGTCATTGATTACAATGAAAGCTTTTCACATGTCACTCTAGAAACTTACTTCCTGCAACATCAACACTATATTCCTGTGGTGGGGGGTGGAGCCTTCCGTCTAGCCGAGGAAGCCCGGGCATCAGGGGTAGAGGAAGACTTCTTCACTCTTGACAGCCTGTTGCCATCAGACACCACGCTCCGATGATGTATCAGCTTCCTGGCAACAAAGGAAATAGCATCAGATACTTGAGTAGAGTATCACAACAAAACAGTACAGAATGTTCTTTGTCAGGGGTGGAAATACCTCATTGCCCGACATCCGAGTCCAGTGTTTTTTTCTGTCGGGCAAGCAAATTTGTATATCACACTGTACCGGTGTCCAGTTGACTTTGCAATGTTAATTATGTTGTTTATTTTAAAAAATCAACAAGAAAACGTCTGGTATAGTGGAAAAATTATCAGGGCAAGTGATTTTACATGTGCCACTGTTCTGGAGTACACTAGCAGTTTTAAGGTTATTTCCACCCCTGTTTGTCTGTACATGTAGCTTTGACAGTCTCCAACAAAAGCTTGAATACACTAACCTAGACTTGTACTTCAACAACATTAAGTCTTATGGATTATCAAATGTTAGCATGTCCTTACTTCATAGGATACTGCTTATTTAAATTTTAATGGAAATACTTTCCAGTGATAAATTCTACAATTTTCAATACTGCTATCATGACTATTTATATTTTAAGTGTACATATGTCAAATATCAAATGCCAAAATGAATATTAAACAAGACTAAATTCAAATGGTTAAATACATGCAGACCAGTTTGCATGTTTATGTGAAATAGTGATTTGGTTTTAACACGTCGCTTTGTGTGAGTGAGTTTAGTTTTATGCCGCACTCAGCAATATTCCAGCTATATGATGGCAGTCTGTAAATAATTTTGTCTGGACCAGACAATTCAGTGATCAACAGCATGAGCATCGATCTGCACAAGTGGGAACCTATGACATGGGTCAACCAAGCCAGTGAGCCTGACCGCCCGATCCCGTTAATCGCCTCTTATGACAAGCATGGGTTACGGAAGGTTCATTCTAACCCCGGACCTTCACGGTTGTCGCTTTGAACCTTATTGTCATGTCTGCATAAAGTGGGAGGAAAACCCAAAGGTATCTTAGATATGCACCACATTGACCGAGTCAACAAGCATGCTGACAAACCAAGATTCACAATCAAGGTGAATATGATTTGAATCCATAAATTCCTGCATGCCAAAGGGATTCAAATCTGCAAAAAATAAAACTTTAAAACACATCTCAATATCATTGGCTTGTCCTTCACAAATTTTCTTATAAGAAAATCAGTTAACCTGAGAATTTCCCTTTCCTTGTGAGAGTAATTTCCCCCATTACTTGCAGCTTGAAGATGAATTGCTTCAATTGATCCATCGATGAATTTCATAACTTGAGAATATGGTGCCTGCAAATTATAAAAGAATTCTTGGTTAGTGCAAGTACTGACACTCTTCAGAGAATGTGAACTTGCCAGTGCTAAAAAAACAACTCTCTTGAATGAACTGAACCATATTTCCTGATGAAATGTCTTACTTTCAAATTCAAAATATTTAAGTTCTTTACCTTGAAAACGTGCACTGAACCAAGAAAAATGAGCTGGTTTCAAATACCAATATAATGTAGTCTAACAAATACTATTTGAAAAAGGTGAGGTGAGGTGAAATTGGGTTTAACGTCGTGCTTGAGAATATTTCGTTCATATGACGACGTGCATGCGTGTGTATGTGCATGTGCGGCTGCTTGTACTAGCCCAGACTTAAGCTGGTTTTATAGTGCTAGCCCTAGTGTTGGGAATCGGTTGTAATTTCATAATCGATCATCGGTTACAATCGGATTGGCTCAACCGATCAATCATCGGTTAATAATCGGTTAAATGAAATGACAAGAATAACCTCTGAATAAAACATATTTTACACAAGACCATGTGTTTGGTATTGTCTCAGGCCCCTAAAGGTAAGTAAGTTCAGCTCAGAGACAGATGGTTGAATTTGAACAAAAGAAAAGAAAAAGAATTTGTTCTTTTTATGGTTTATTATTTATTTACCATCAATGCCAGAGATGCCAACCTCAACAATTTTATCATACTAGTGGCTACAAATTTTAGCCTAAACTACGCCAATACATTTCACTAGAAATTCTACGAAATTGGAAGAAAATTCATTCAAATTCGAAATATATAGACACAAACATATATTTTCGTCGACTAAGTACAAGACAAATATCAATTATGTACTTGATTTCGACAAATAAATAATCTCTTATCATTTATGAAATCAACTTTCAGGATTTATTTCATATATTTTATGTTTGCAAGTAGATATATATCCAAAAGTGACTCTGACATAGCAAAGTAAAAGGGTACTCAAGTTTTAACCTGATTTACGATAATTTATGTCACAAGGCCTACATGTCATTCGTTTTCAATAACGTTGCAATTTGTTTGTATGTATTCTGTAGTTGCAAATTTTGTACTGATAGTAATAGACTTATGAGTATGGACGGATTCATATCATGCACGTATAACATGATGATACAGTAAACAACACATTCATAACATCTTAAAGTCATCTTTACCTTTTATTTTCAAATAATTCTCTATTAGACCATTCACTTGATAGTATTACGAAATTATGAGTAGATACCTTTGTTTGCGTATTCCTTTCGACAAATACGACAAATCGCCTTTGACATGTCAAGTTTTTCCTTCGTTGGGGACCCCTGACATCTCTTCCAAAATCCGAAACACTTCCAAACGTTGGATCTGCCTTTCCCGCAAGGGTAGTTGAATATTTCATCGACATCAACCCGGTCGGCAGCTGCCATTTTGTTTGGCGCGAAAGCTAACAACAATTATGATTTCACCAAAACTTCGCTTATTTATCTTAACACATTACTGGCAGATCATTATTTATTTAGACTTTTTGTTCCTTTTGTTTATTTTTTATATTCTGCAGCTGGGTTATTATGTATTTAGATACGTCTGTCATGAACAAGGTAAGCAGCAGTTGTACGCTCATGGAATGAGGTAAACATGCAAGTCATCGCTGCGCCGGAGTGTGCATGCCACTTTGTTGTGATCGACAGCTACAATAAATATGACATTAAGCGAAACAAAATATATACACTGTGTATCCATTTTCAGTCAACTTCACTTCATTTCAAGGCGTAAGTAGACGCAATATGATTGTGAATTTTGTGAATAATGCGGACCGGAGTTATAATCATCTGTAACTGCCAGTTGTCTTGTGGTCTGAGTTGGGTATTCATTACTGTTTTCGTAAAAATTATTAGCGACAATCGATTATGAAATTTTGCAATCGATTGTCGCGTCGGAAAAGGGTAACCAATCAATTTTCGATTATAATCGATCATCGGAACACCACTAGGAACATGTTAAATGTTTAGATTTGTAACAGTAATATTTCTGAAATATGTAATCAGTGAGCCTTTACCAGCATGAGTGAACATCATAGGGATCCATGGTCAGTATCCTATGCTGTCTGACAGGGTGACTAACATGAGGTGAATGGTAAATACATCAACAGGATGAACATTATAGAAACTAATATCATTATTAACTTTTTGATCATGCTTATTTTACTCTTTCATGTTTAATAAACAAATAGGAATATTCATTGGGATAATTAAGTCTTACCTTATCTTGTCATATGTTATATAGCAAAGGAAATACACATGTAGTCAGGAAATATATGTCATCATTTTCGTCAGTAATGATGTGATGGGAATAAATTACATTACTTATGCATTACACTTATAAAGAAACACTCTCTATTTGTCATAACTCCTGTGGTAAACATGGTAAAGTGGTTAATTAGGGCCCGTTAATTATATTAACTCATTAAGGTTAGCTTTGCTTGAAGCTGGAAACATGAGTTCAATCATCAACAATGTGCAAATTGAAATCCAAAAAGTGCATCCGGTAAAGTGGACTACTCGCGGCACTTCTATGGCTTAAAAAGTTAAACGGACCCAAGCATCTTTGCACAGTTGAAAGGAATCTGATTTTTCATCATGCATCATCAGTACGCTCATCCAATATGTCAAAGCCATTAATGAATTTATAAACCATTACAAAAAAACAGCAGCATCTAAATGACATTACACTGGCAATCACGCGCAATGATGATAATAAAAATGTTGACTATTTACTTACATCAATTTTGATAACATAATTATTGGGGATGTAGCCAATCTGTCCGATTCCATTCTGAGCGTACAACCAGTCGCTTCTGGATCCATCGAGAACTGTAAACTTGTCGCCGCCCAAAAATGACAAATATTGTGGCAACTGGCTCTTGTAATCGTACAAAGCTCGATACATTTGTAGCTATTTAGCAAACCGATGAACACTCAGAGTAAATACTTAATTATCACGATTACTAAACGTCAAGGGCGGATTTTCGTCTCAAGAGAGCGACATTTTGAAATCATAGCTCAGCAGTTAAAATTTGGGATCATTGGTGTGGGTAATTTATATATTTTTATGAAATGCAAATGTAATTGAAAAATAACAATTTATGTGTAACATCATTGTCAGTTGGGCAAACAATAAATATGTAGTTATAATCAAATATAATTATGTTTGATCATTTGTAAATTTAGCGTTCTTTATAGTTACTCCGAAACTTGTATGGCGGAAAACATGAATGTTTGGAAATGTGTTGACAGTTCGTAAGCATAAATTGAATATGACACGCCTCGCCAAAGTAAAGCAGAAACACGCGTGAGCTGAGTAAGTAAATTACCTGTGGGATTATGAGTGTCATGTTGTCGTTTTCCTAGAGAAGCGTTTGTGACGCAAATAATAATGATAAACAATCAAAGTAATTTACAGTTATAGGCTCAAAGAAACGCAAGACTAGAGAAGTTACGGTTAGGATCACAATTTTGTCATCATGTTTACAACTGATAAGACATGTTAAGACAGTCTTTGATCGTAAGTATTTACACAAAGCTGAATCCCTGCATAATTTAAAAGTGATGTAGGTTTTTTAGCTCCCATTGTTATTTCAGCAAACTGGACAGTTGAAATGTGGGTGATTGATTTGCGATTAACAATGTTAAAGATGATTGAAACAATGATCTAGACAGTAGGGCTGGAGCCCAGGTCGGGAACTGAATTAGTGAGTGAGTGAGTTTAGTTTTACGCCGCACTCAGCAATATTCCAGCTATATGGTGGTGGTCTGTAAATAATCGAGTCGGACCTGACAATCCAGTGATCAACATCATGAGCATCGATCTGCGCAATTGGGAACCGATGACATGTGTCAACCAAGCCAGCAAGCCTGACCACCTGATCCCGTTAGTCGCCTCTTACGACAAGCATGGGTTACTGAAGGTTCATTCTAACCCGGACCTTCACCGGTCTGTACTGAATTAGACATGTGACTAGTTATATGATATATATACTGTTTAGTGACAAACATCCACTGTAATTCAGTGGTTACACTACAAGTCACAAATCTGCCAAAATCTATCCTTCAATATCTTTCATATTTTGTGTGTATTGTCTCCGACATTTATGTTTGAATAAAGATAGAGCTTGAGTCAACATCAGCATGTTCAGTGAATGCATGATCATGTTATTTGTTTTTTTCATGATTAGTTTCTGTAAGAACTCTGGTAAACGGTAAGAGTTCCGCCTGTAATCCCAGTTTTAAATGTATTCTATTTATTAGGATTATTTTGAGGGTTTAGGGTTAGGGTTAATTTTTTTTATATAAAACACATCTTTTCTTAGGGCATAGAAGGATAAAAAAAACCCTTGGGGTTATGGGTGGAAATCTTTCCTGGTAAACATAGTAAACAATGCGAATCTGGATATTTTGTATGCAACTCGTGAGGCCTATAGTGGATACACAGGTCTTATTCATACTGTGATTATAATATGAGCATGAGCAACAACCTTCAAAAGCAAATAGGTCACACATCATGCACACTGAGACTCCTCATGTACTCCTCCTGTTTATGACAGTCTCTGTATTTCTTCAACATGGACACTATTGTAACTGTTGTACTTTAGTATTTTAGGTAAGGGGCAGCCTAGTGGTTAAAGCACTTGCCTATCATGCCGAAGACCTGGGTTTGATTATTAGTTACATGGGCTCATCAGCCCTTTTTCGGTGTCCCCTGCTGTGGTATTGCTGGAATAATGCTAAAAGGGGTGTAAAATAGGGCTGCAACGAATACACTATGTGGCGAATATGATGCATATCATAAATATTGGGTAACATATACGAATAGTTATTCACGAATACAGTATTGTAGTTAAGTGATTGATGTACAATATGGTACACCCATGTTGACAGTTTTGATTTGTCACAGCAATAGCCAGTGATCTCATGACACCCAAATTTGGTATGTAATAGTTATAGTCGACAGTACCATGTGCGGCCTTGGCAAACTAACATGACTTGCGCTACTGCAAGGCTAGTACATATTCAATCCTTGCATATCTCACTTTCCAAAAGTACACAAGGGTTCAAGTAAAACATGCTCCCTTAAAAAAATCGTAAATATTCATTAATATTCGGTTCTGGTGACCACGAATAACGAATTGAATTCATGAAGGGCTATGGTTCGATTCACCGAATATGCGAGTGAATCGTTACAGCCTTAGTGAAAAACCATACTCACTCACACCTCAGTATTTCATTCTAGAACCTGCCAGCATGGAAGGAGGTGTGTTCTGTGACAGTGTTGATGTGCTGCTGACACAGCTCTGCAAACATCACCTCCAGGACACTCAGAAGCGAGCCTACATTGTTCAGCCTCGAACATCACGGGATGAACAGTGTAAACGACTCAAAAGAAAGGCCTACAATACATTATTTGAATTTCTCAAAGGACGAGGAAGGTATGTAACTGTTTGTTTGTCCAAGATATTTTTATGGATTGAACTTCTTTTTATTTCCCTCACAAAGTTTCGGGACAATTCCAGGTCCTGAGTTCACCTGATGAAGGGACCTGGAATGGTCCCGAAACGTTGTGAGGGAAATAAAAAAGAAGTTTAATCCATAGAAATATCGTGGACATCGTCAGAAGTGTTTGTGAGTCTGTGACCACATCAGCATCAGGAACTCAGAGACAAAAACACTTTTGACGATGTCCAAGATATTTTTATGGATTACATTTTTTTTTATTTCCATGCTTGTAGTTGTAGTAAGAGGCTACGAATGTGATTGGATGGTCAGGTTCACTGATTTGGTTGTCATCGTATCCTGATTCCTTAGATGTTCATGATGTTATGTCAATCACTGAACAGGGGCGATGGGGTAGCCTAGTGGTTAAAGCGTTTGCTTGTCACACTGAAGACCCGGGTTCGATACCCCACATTGGTACAATGTGTGAAGCCCATTTTTGGTGTCCTCTGCCGTGACATTGCTGGAATATTGCTAAAAGCGTTGTAAAACCAAACTCACTCAATCACTGAATTGTGTGGTCCTGACTTGATTATTTACAAACTGCCAACATAGTGCTGGAATATTGTTGAGTGCATTTATCAACAAGCAAACTTAATCAGCGCATGTATTAAGCATGATCAGATGGTGGCAAGGTAAGAATAGATCAAGTAAATCACTCTAAACCTGGTACCATGTGTAGTTTTTTATCTATTATTGTAAGTACAATAAGCATAACTTACCCGTGAAGATCTGGGTTAGAATTGGTCTTCAGCAACCCATGCTTGTTGTAATTGCGGAGATTGGTGCTCATGCTGTTGATCACTGGACTGTCTGGTACAGACTCGATTATTTTTAGACTGCCGTCATATAGCTGGAAAATTGCTGAGTGAAGCATTAAACAACAAACTAACAATCATAGCAGCCTTCTGTATTTTCCAGATATTCTTGCTTATCCCCATCTGACCCCGTGAAGAAAGAAATAGATGGCATTTTGGTCTATGCCTACCACTTACGATGCAATCGATTTTTTGATGAGGCCAATCGTCTGGAAGCTCTCCTGGATACTTTGTTATCAAAAGATGGTATGTGTATCAGCATGATTGTTGTCGAGGCTTAGAGTTCTATTTATTGAAATCGAGCAACTTGTGTCAGTCATGATGTCAGGTACTGCAGTCAGCACATCCACTTTGACGCCACCTTTGAACATGCTCAAGATCTGGGTTAAAATTGGTCTTCAGCAACTGATGCTTATTGTAAGAGGCGACTGATGGTATTGGGTGGTTAGGGTTGGTGACTTGGTTGATGCATGTCACCCCAATTGGACAGATCGATGCTCATAGCATCAATCACTGGATTGTGTGGTCCAGACTTGAGATTATTTACAGACCGCTGTCACATAGATGGAAAATTGCTGAGTGCGGTGTTGAACAACAAACACCATATATGCATACTTCAAAGAGTTAAGAGATAAAATGGGGCCTAGTGGTTAAAGCGTTCGCTAGTCACGCCGAAGACCCGGGTTCGATTCCCCACATGGGTACAATGTGTGAAGCCCATTACTCACTCACTCACTCACTATGAGATGAAATTATATTAGTGGTAATCATGGCACTCAGAACCATGTGCCTGTCTACCAACCTTAGTTTATACATATTACATCATTATTGAAATTGAAGAGGTAGTGACTTAAAAGGATATTGAATGGGCACTACCCACTGATTTTAATCTTTAAGGACCATAAAGCATATGTTTGTAGATCGTATAACATTTTACCTTGTCTAATTGTAACAGTACTGGTAAATCAAAGGACATTTCGAGATGCCCTTTTCTTGAGTAGTCAGTGATTTTTCCAGTGGTTCCAGAGAAGTGTTTTTGATTGCAGGTGATAAGAGTGATGTGATGTCAGTGTTGCTGTTACTGGTGTTACTATCAGAGAGGAGGAATCCGACTAGTAAAGAAATCATTGGCCATGCATCACAAAAGCTGCCTCTGGTGCCATCTAAAAGGGTAAGGACCTGCTGTCAATATTCCCCTCATGGTGATAATCATTGGAGGATGTCCGGGAAACAGATACATATTGTTGTTTCATGTTGACCTCCTCCTTTGTGGATTACAGGTCAGAATTGATGGATAAGTGGCAGGATTCTTGTCACAAGAGCTAAATTTTACAAAGATCAAATGATAACAGTTTGTTAACTGCCAGATAGTGTGCAGGGATTTATGTGGACCTTATTAGAGGCTGATCTTCAACCCTGAGTCGGCAAATGTTAGTAAATATTGATAAACTGGAACAAGATAATTCATGTTGCTCTATGTATATCTAATGTTATGGCTTTGTGAAGTGACTTGTATTTCAGTGACAGCAGTCAATATCAGTATAAACAAAAGGGCTTTCATGAATAGTTAAACACCATGTACAATGCTTCAGAAAACCTCTGATTGGAATATTACCTGTCATTTGTAGTCAACTTCTGACTGAACTCTTTTTTATGAGATTGATTTACCTAAGAAAGAAATTGAAACCCTCGGTAAACATGCTTTATGATGTCAATTGGCTGATTATGAATGTGTGTATTAGTATTTTGAGTATATGAGCATGAGAGTCATTACATTTTTGTTTAAACATAAGTACACCTGACTCCATTTTGTTGTGTGTTTGTTCCATGTTGTCCAGACCCAGCATGTGGTGTTACCTGAAGGACCGCCTGTGTATGGGGATAGCCAGGTGTTCTGTCCAGACTCCTTCTACATGCATTACCCTCGGTGAGTTAGCTCACTCTCATCATCAGGTCACAACCATCTTTGTACAATCATCCCACACAAATGAATAACTAATATCCAAGGCATGTTGTAAGAGGAGAAGGAAGTGGGAATTGTGAGATCACAATGGTTGCTGAGTGTGTTTCTCATGCTATCAACTACTGCTGTGTCTGCACACTGTATGTGTTGGGTTTCAATGACTTGTTTCCCGATCACCCTTTCACATGCTAATCACTCTAACAGTTGGTTTGTATTTTTCAGGGAGCTGTTTGAGGCAACGTATCAGCAAACTGACATCAGGACAAAGATGGATGTCAAACGTCCAAACGTGAGTGAGCATGTTGAGAGTGTAATGACATACCTAGTGTATACAGTGGAGGCTGTCAAAACTGGCAGCTGTCCAATCCGGCAATTCTTTTTCAGAAGAAGTCCTCCTTGGGATACATATAAGCATTAAAATGTCCATTTTAAATCCTACGACAGTTGTAACTATATTTTTAATAAAATATTTACAAAACAAAAAACTCGTTTTGTCTTGTGAGACCACCCCTACAGGGCCCCACCGGACCAACACAGCCAAGAGCAGGTAACTCTCGCCGTCTACCTCGTACCTCACTTTTCATGCTGTCGTTCTGTTGAATAGACGTGCGTGGTGTTCGTTTCGAGTTTGCTCTCCTACCGATACGATGAGTGTAAAAGAGTCTCAATCTGTATGTATGGTTCCTTTCTCTCGCGACGGGCGCTAGATGGACGTCATATGTGGATATTTTCATTCATCTTTTGTTGTAACTTTGCCGTGGGTTCTCTGTTTTCCAGCCATGTGGCAGGCAAAATGGCTTCCTTGCTATATGTTATTGGTAGCTTGTAGTAGGAGTTCATATATTATGTTTGCATATTATATGGTAGGCTTGCCTAAATTCTCTTTCTTTTCAGCGAATTTGTGGTAAGTCGTTGTTGATTAATTTTGATAGTGTTAGTTTACAGATCACTCAACTTTACTCTATCACTAGTACACGCAGAGGTGGCTAGCCTTTTTCTGCTTTGCATTGCATGTTTAGTATTTAAATGGCTGTAGCTTGTAGCATTTATATATATCCCGTCGCGGATTATTCTTGCTATTACTTGTGTTTATGTGTTTGCTGCTTCACAGTTCCTGCTAGTAACACTGGCGTGGTTCTGTTTGTTGCAGTTTAAGCCCTGTCGCGTTGTGCCATGCACACTACCGCCACAGGATGGTTATAAAGTGTGCCTCCGGTGTTTAGCCGAGGGCGCTCACGCGACGATCAAGGATGCTCATAATAAACGCCCTTGCGTCAATATTCCTGTTACATTATGTTGTATTATGATACATATTTCATGCGTTTACACAACAACGCGTGGCTCATAGGCGAGGTTGTGGTTTTGTCTGGATTCTGCGCCTCCGCGCCGCATTCTTTTCCGACACGCCAGATTTTATGTTTTTCACTAATCTGCTTCAGGCGGGGATTATATTTGATAAAAGGTTTCTAAGGAATACTCCTGTAACCATCCGAGCACTTACGTATACATACATGTGTATGTATGGGTATTTATATAGCTATAGGCTATGTTTGACTATATGCTCAGTGCGCTTTTGAGAGTACTTCGATGGGAAACCTGATTTATCAGGCTACTCCCTCGTGTCACCGGGATCGGGTTCGGTCTAGAACAGCTGAGCTTCGGCTCTCGCGGATTCTCTGAACCCGTGGGTAGCGCCGACCCAGGCTTCGGCACTGGTAGGGCGCAGATTCCTGACTCGGTAGTTCAGGTCTAGGCGCGATAGTTCAGGTCTCGGCCTGATGTCTATCGGCGTATTGACCTAGATGCCATCGAGTGTGCGGGGGTGACTGTCACCTCGCCCGCTCCGAGGTCTGTCTGAGTGCTTGTGAAACCTTGATTGTCAGGCTTCTCACATGTGCCTCGGAATCGGGTTCAGGCTCATTACAGTGGACAAGTCGATTTGAGCTTCGGCTCATTTCGCTACTTTGAACTTACCACTAAGTAGGTTCGTCCCTGAGGGCAAGTCGCGAGATAGAATCGCTGGCTGTGTTGCCTCAGGTGTTGTCCATGTCGACTACCGAACCGCTGGAGTTCGCCTCGGAGGGAAGCCTGCTTCCAGCACGGCATCCGGACAAGGCCTCACACTCTCCCTTAAGTCTGCCGTTCTTTCCCCTTCACAGCTCAACGCTGTATGCTCCACTTCGCGCATCTCTCAGCTGCTGAGGGAGCTGGTGGAAAGGGGAGAGCGCCGGTGGAATTTTCTTTTTCGTCCGGCGACTCTGGGCGGCATCTGGCGGGGCAACTCTCATCTGGCTAGGGACTGCATTGTAGCTGTGCCAGTCAAATGATGAGGGCGGTTATGGGCATATACCGGGACAGTTTTGAGGAATCACGGAAGTCTGTTGAGCTTCGTTACTTCCTCAGGTGCCCAGGCATCGGCAAACGTTAAGTTGCCGACTGCTGGGGTTACTATATTCTGCCGCAAACACCGGCGGAGCGACACACTCCTGTGTCGGCTTCCCGGGAGACGGCGACAATACTCCGTGCCCAGATCCAGTCTTTGCTGGGCTAGGCAACCAGTGTGGTGGTTTCCAATGGTCAGGAATATGTGGGGTTTGACTCCACTTATTTCATAGTTGCCATTACGAACGGAATGTTCAGACCCATTCTCATCTGAGAGCTGAACAAGTTTATAGAGGTACTGTCCTTCAAGATGGAGACACCGCGCTCGGTGATCTCATCTGCCGAGACAGGGGATTGGCGCACGTCAATCGACCTCGAGGTCGCGTACCTCCTTGTTCCCTTGCACCCTGATTTCAAGATTTACCTTCGGTTTCTTGTTTGACGGGACGTGCTACCAGTTTCGTGTGCTCTCTCCTTAGGCTACATTACGGTGCCAAGGGTGTTCACCAAATTGAGGTTTATTACAGCTCAGATAGCCAGATCGCAGTGCCGGTGTTGTCACCCGTACATAGGCGACTGACTCATCGTGGTTTCAGATAACTGTTGAGTCTCGGGACCTCACGATCAGTTACGAAACTGGGCGGAATTGTCAACCTCACGCAGTCAGATGGACAGACGTCAGGCGTCTCTCCGAGGGTCCCCACCCCTGGAGACACCGTCGCTCTCAGTCCAGCCAGATACATCCCTACCGGTTAGGGCGATGTTCTGGGTTACCTGCAGCCTCTTGAGACGAAGTCACAACCTGCACATCAATGTGCTGGAATTGACAGCAGTCAGGTTGGTGTTCGATCCCGCATCGCCGGATTCGAATTACCTCTTCGACCAGACATTCTCACTTGCATGCGCGCCACACCCGAATCCTCGGATTCACTGGGTGGCTTGGCCTCTGTCGGGTATAACACACGGAATTCCTGCAACCGTTGCAGACACAATTCTGCCTGGGATTCGACACCCGTTCAGTGTGTTGATAGGTGGGGCGCTGGTGTGCAGATAGGGGATTTCATAATCCCTATTCTGCGGACTTAGTTCGGATATTGGAGTTACTATAACCTCGTTTTGGTTGAGAGCCTTATGACCTCCACCATTGCCGGGTACTCCATGGCTATTTCCACGTTTCACACCTCGCTCGATGGTGCTCTGCCTAGGCAGCATCCTCTCGTACATCGGCGTACGTAGCTGGCATGAACAGGGTTGACCGCCTTCGTCGGCGACCCAGCCCACCTTAAAATTGCCACTTATTCACAATTGGCTGTCTGGCCTTAATTTTTTTCAAATATATCGCCTCTCACTTCACTTGTTGACGTGGAAGACGACTTTACTTGTTGTGGTGAACTCTGGTAGAAGGGTCGGGTACATCCATGCGATTCCCACTGACCCGACACTGACAGTATTTTATACTGATCATGTCCGTGATTCGACTCGGATACCTACCACTCTCAGTCGCGATATTGCTTTCCGTGACTGCTCATATCGCGACTTCCACCTTCCACCCAGCCTTCCGCGCCGGGGACCAATCTTCGATTGCTCACCCGTGCCTGTCACGCAACGAACGAACAAAAGGGATCCGTGACGGGTACCCATGTGTGCTGTTTGGTGGCGGGAAGACTGGGGAGTCTGCTAGCAAGCGCACTTTATCTCGTTGGCTTGTTTCCGTAATTGTATGGTTACAATGATACGGTTTACCTCCCCGAGGGTTGAAGGCAGACTGGGTAGGGCAGATGCCGCTTTGTTGACAATACACAGCGGCACTGCTCAATGAAGAGATCGGTTCTGTCGCTCTTTGGAGCCAGCAGAGCGCCTTCATTCGGCATTACCAACTTGACACGCATTCTAAGGATCGTGCTCGGTTCGGTCTTTCGGTTCTCTCCAGTGGAGAGTGACCTGCCACCCTGACCAAGTTAGTAACTGGTCATTGGTATCGGTTCTGTGTTCAATGTCGATATATTTCATATCACTACATCGTATTAGCCTTACCATCCTTTCGGGTTGGGTCGGGTTTGGGTGTACATACGTCCCTTATGTCCCTTACGTCAAGAGGGCGGGGTCCGTTTTGAACGCTTTAACCAGTCATATGCTATTAACCCGTCTTGCGACGGAATTGGGTGCGAACCCCCCACGGGGCACTGTTTGGTATGCCTCTCTTCGAGCCGCATGTCACGTGACCAGGTTAGTGTAATGGTGAGCCAACATATGTTCGGCTACGCTTTTCGCTATTCAGGGGATTTTTGTACGCTTACAGTTTTTCCCTCTTCCCGAGCCTTCGGTATTTGGGAGTCTGTGTTAATCAGCTTTGTGGGATGGTGGCCTACACTTACCCTCCTCACGCCGAGAGTGTTTGGTGGGGTGTTTTCACTTTCATACAATGCATGGCGTTTGTACTCGTTCGATTCCTCAGAAAGTTTTAGCGAGGCTAATAATTTCTCTGGGTTTTATCGAGGTCCCGGCAAGCCCTCTTCCAAACAGGGGCTGCATTCGAGCATTAGTTTGCAGTACTTATTAGCTCGACTCCTGGGTTATTGGCTTTGTAGCGTTTAAATTTTTTACGCTTTCCCTACCCTTATACCTCTCGCCACGATTGTCTGGCTGGGGCTATATTAGGGTTGGGAGTTGTTTCGGCATGTCCCCATACATTCCTTCCATTGTAATGGTTGGGGGCGGGGTTTTATGTCATTGATATTGAGCCAATTGACATATAAGCTTGGGCTCTCTAGTTCCGCCCGTCCTGATTGACATCAGCGGTCAGGTGGCTCGGTGTTTTCTATTTCGTATCGGGTTGTAGATTTCACTCCACCACGGGTTTAGTTGTTGCCAGACAGAATGCCACTCCGTCTCAAATATCTTTGGGAGTCTGTCATATGCTTATATGTACCCCAAGGAGGACTTCTTCTGAAAAGAATTATACAAACCTGTAGAGGTTATGAATTCTTTGAAGAAAGTCCTCCTTGGGGTACAGCCACCCGCCTCCCCTCATTCTGTCTGACACGTTCAGCATGAAAAGTGAGGTACGAGGTAGACGGCGAGAGTTACCTGCTCTTGGCTGTGTTGGTCCGGTGGGGCCCTGTAGGGGTGGTCTCACAAGACAAAACGAGATTTTTGTTTTGTAAATATTTTATTAAAAATATAGTTACAACTGTCGTAGGATTTAAAATGGACATTTTAATGCTTATATGTACTTATATGTCCCTTTCTCTGCACTCCTCTCTCGTAACAAATAGTGAACAGTGTCAATATTTTAATAATAGTTTGTTAAACAACTTTTTAATTTTTAGGACATAAATTCTGCAAAAACCTCACAGAGTTGGTCTGACGTTTTGATTATGATCAGTGCTTCATTGAGTATTTTGAGTTTTTTAGTTTTCGAGTTAGATTGCAATTCATCGGTCCGCTTTTGAGCCAAACGGACTATAGTGCATCATTTAAAAGCTCTGCAGTCCGGCAGCTGTCAATTCCGGATCTCAGCATGAAATGAGCCGCCCGAATATGTGTTTATACAGTAATCAGCACTGTCTAATCCGGCGCGTGGCGAGGAGTGTGTATTGTCCTGCATTAAAACTGCATGGTTGCCGACAAAGATAATTTAATCTTAGTTCAGTATGGGTATACCTGTACATGTAATTAGTGATTTGAACATTTATTATGTGATACAACAATGTATATGAGAGTGACAAAGCTGGTCCAGTTCTACTTGTAGGTGACCTTGTCGGCTCTACAATCCGGGATTTTTTCTTTAGTCCCGACAAGTGCCGGTATAGACAGCTTCCACTGTAGTGTGATAATCATATGGTCTAAAGGGGACAATCAAGTGCAGAAGCATGTAAACACATTCAGAAATATTCTTGTGTATTTTTGAAATTAGAGAGTAGTGTAGCAGATCAGCTTTTGCTCCAAGTTTTTGTCATTGAGCCAATCAGTGAGTATTGCTGAATGAAGTGTGAAACTCGGTTCATTCGCTCACACGTTTCTAAAAATAATGCATATGAACTCTGCTTTTAACCTAAAATTTAAGTCATACATCACCACTGACAGAGAATCTAATAATTTCTACTACCTCTTTCAGCTTTTTGAGCTGACCCCTGGAACAGAGCTGTCAGGAAATGGATGGTTCAATTACAGGGTAAAACATTACAGTGTTTTGTGTAGATGTTGTAATTCTTGTGAGTTACCTGCTTTCATGATTTGGCTTTGGTGCTAGGAATTATAAAACTGTATCAGTTCATGTGAATGTTTTTGTGAGGAATTATTCCACAAGAGTTAACAGTGTTCCAGGTAGTTCAAATAATCAGTTGCTCTTTATTTGATTTCTACCCATCAGGTGATGGAGACAAGTGCTATAATGAAGCATGGGTAACACATGTGGTGTTCGCTAAGGCTAGTGACTTTGTTTGTAATTTGGCTCTGTTCACACAGCAGTGACTGGGTACCTGGTGGGATGAGATGGTAATGTGACTATTAACCTTCTAGTACTTCACAGACATCTTGGGTTGTATACTCCCAAGGTAGCTGAGAATAAATATCTAATGCACATTGATCCTTGAGCTGGGTAATGATGATAGTGCTTTGGACATATACCTTGTCTATGGAAGCTAGCACACACATCATTATTATCATTGTCCCATTTCAGCCTCTCCTGAATGATGCCCACGAAAAGGAGGCAAGAATGACCATGTTTGGAGGTCTTGTTCAAGGAAGAATTACCTCCCTTGATGCAAAACTTGACCTCCCAGAACTGCCAGATGAATCTGATATGAAGTAATCTCTATTTCTTGTTATGAATTGAATTTTCACATCATTAGAAATAAGTATTAAAACTATTGCCTGTGTTGTAAAGTGGACATACAGTTTAATCCTGATTAAGGGATTCCAGGGTATTGCCCCAAGATTGTCACAAGCATGACAAGAAAAATGACTTACAAGGAGACTTTGTTTTGGTTAAAACATGCTACCATGATTTACCAACATAAACATGTGTGGTACATCATGCTACCATGATTTCCTGGATTATACACTTGTGGTTAAACCATGTTATCATGATTTACAAGGAATCTGAATGCTTATGGTTAAACCTTGTCACCATTATTTTACCAGGATTAAACATTTGTGGTTAAACCTGTCACCATGATTTACAAAGATTCAACATTTGTGGTTAGTGCATGTTACCATGATTACAACATGATTAAATGTTAACATTATTTAACAAGATAAACCATGAGTGGTTTGTACCATGTTTACATGTTCATTAAGGCCCTGTTACATATTTCAGATGTCCTGAAATCAGAATTCCAAAGGTCATGTCTATCAGTCAGGTATGTGGAAACCACTTCCTTCTGCATTCTGAAATGTCCACACATTTGGTCGTTTATCAGATGAAACTAAAAATTTAAGTGTAGCTAGATATTGAGTGGTCTATCTTCCTTCTTTCTAAGTCAGATTTTTCAGCAAGTCTAGGAAGAAATATATTCTGCTGACAAGTGTTTGATATTTTCAGCTGTCACAAGACACAACTGACACCTTCATGTCGACATCGATGACGACTTTCAATGACTCGGCCATTGAGGAGAACATCTGGGATCTAGCTCTGAAGTGCAAGCGTGGCAGATACTACACATGGGAGAGGAGAGGAATGTAGGCCTCCAAACATGTTCAGTCATTACTTTTTACCCAGCTCTATACTGGAATTCTTGGACTTCAGTTAAGCTATAAGTTAAATCCCTTACACATTCCTGGGTCAGCGACTTATTGTGAAATGGAGAAGGTCGTATGAAATATGGTGAAAAGGTACTCAATTGTCTCTCTGATTTCATGGGTTTCTATGTTTGCTTTTGTACAGCAACATAAATAGAAGTTTACTCAAGGCTAAAAAGACTCCTTTTTTGAGTTTGACAGAAGTATGTTTTGTGTTCAATAGATGACATATTGTCCTATCCTATTCCAGTGAAGGGTCCATTGAGCGACCCTACTTCTCTGAGGCAGGTCCGCTAGCTGTGGACAAGTGGTACACACAGATGCTGCTGCAGCTGAAGGTCATGGCTCCTGAAGCAGTGCTGCCACCTAGTAGAGGAATCAGCCAATCACAGCTTATCAAAGATGTCATCTACCTTCTGATTGGTGTAGAGTCACATACCTTCAAATTGGATGAGGTAAACTTTTGTTGTGGTTTAGGGGGGTAGTTTCTTTTGTCTATGTTGCCAATGTTTAGATCCATGCTCTGGCTGACAGAGAGGGTTATTGTCTGTGTCGGCGTCAGCTTGATTCAAATGGATCTTTTTTGTCCTTGACATGGCTGCAATCTGCTCAACTGGGGCCTGACCTATTTAATCACTGTTCCTTATTTCCAGGAGACTCAGAGTTTCAAGACAGCTGAAGGAGTGTATGTCACAGGGATAACTCCCGATGCCCTTAGCAGCTGTCTGAGGGATTTTATTGCTTGTGGCTCCAACTACTACCGCCTCAACCTGTGCTCCAAGGCTCCTGTGGTCGACTCCTTCTATGAGAAGGGGATGGTGTTCCAGGCCTACACTGGGGCCGTGCGTAAAGTCCTTCAACACTACCGAGCCGTCATACTCTCTGTCCCGCACAGAACTACACTCCTGCAGCTCAAGTTTGCATGTGAAAGAACATTCCAGCAAATTAGGTAAACTCACATGGTTGATCATATGTAATATTGGCCAATAAGAGTCCAAAAATAAGAAGGCAGTTGAATGCATTTTTAGTGTGTATTTTCTGAAGCAGTACTCAGCTTTGCAAAATTTTCCACAAGTCGGACGATTTTTGTTCCTGTGATTTAAAGATATGCAAGCTACTGAAGGAACAATTGGTCTTCAGCAACCCATGTTGTAGCTTACAAAGACAATATGTATCATACTTGTTAAATTGGGGGATTGTGTAATGTGAATATGGATTGTCTGGAAACTGACCCTGTGTTCCGTGTGCAGATTCCTGTCACAGCTGTGTTGGTGTGGACGAGACAGCAGCAACTTCCCCACAGTGAGTCGTCCTTATTGTGTCTGTTTCCCATCTCCAGCTTCAGAGGGGTGTGAACTTGAAAATATCACATGAACTCTTAGCTCACCTCAATGAAAGTGAAGCTAGCTAATGTCATGGCCTGCTTGTTTATGGCCTGGTCATTTGTCTGGTGTTTTCATCTTTGAACTATGTATGTTTGTGTAATCTGGCAGGGATGGCTATGTTGGAAAAGCTGTTTGTAGACATGACTCAAGCATTTTGTTATAGCATGTATGGTATGTTGTCATGGTATGTCCAGTGATCATGATGACATCTGTTTTATGTTGTCAGAGTATGTCAGTGATGATGATGACATCTGTGGTATGTTGTCAGGGTATATCCAGTGATCCATGGTGACATCTGTGGGATGTTGTCAGATAATGTTTAGTGATCCATGATGACACCTGTGGTATGTTGTCAGAGTATGTCAGTGATCCATGATGACATCTGTGGTATGTTCTCAGGGTATGTCAGTGATCATGATGCCATCTGTGGTATGTTGTCAGGGTATGTCAGTGATCATGATGACATCTGTGGTATGTTGTCAGGGTATGTCAGTGATCATGATGACATCTGTGGTATGTTGTCAGGGTATGTCAGTGATCATGATGCCATCTGTGGTATGTTGTCAGGGTATGTCCAGTGATCATGATGATTTCTGTGGTATGCTGTCAGGGTATGTCAGTGATCATGACGCCATCTGTGGTATGTTGTCAGGGTATGTCAGTGATCATGATGATGTCAGTGGTATGTTGTCAGGGTTGTCAGGGTATGTCAGTGATCATGATGCCATCTGTGGTATGTTGTCAGGGTATGTCCAGTGATCATGATGATTTCTGTGGTATGCTGTCAGGGTATGTCAGTGATCATGACGACATCTGTGGTATGTTGTCAGGGTATGTCAGTGATCATGATGATGTCTGTGGTATGTTGTCAGGGTATGTCAGTGATCATGATGCCATCTGTGGTATGTTGTCAGGGTATGTCAGTGATCATGACGACATCTGTTGTTTGTTGTCAGGGTATGTCAGTGATCATGATGCCATCTGTGGTATGTTGTCAGGGTATGTCAGTGATCATGATGATGTCTGTGGTATGTTGTCAGGGTATGTCAGTGATCATGATGACATCTGTGGTATGTTGTCAGGGTATGTCAGTGATCATGATGATGTCTGTGGTATGTTGTCAGGGTATGTCAGTGATCATGATGCCATCTGTGGTATGTTGTCAGGGTATGTCAGTGATCATGATGCCATCTGTGGTATGTTGTCAGGGTATGTCAGTGATCATGATGCCATCTGTGGTATGTTGTCAGGGTATGTCAGTGATCATGATGCCATCTGTGGTATGTTGTCAGGGTATGTCAGTGATCATGATGCCATCTGTGGTATGTTGTCAGGGTATGTCAGTGATCATGATGACATCTGTGGTATCTTGTCAGGGTATGTCAGTGATCATGATGCCATCTGTGGTATGTTGTCAGGGTATGTCAGTGATCATGATGACATCTGTGGTATGTTGTCAGGGTATGTCCAGTGATCATGATGCCATCTGTGGTATGTTGTCAGGGTATGTCAGTGATCATGATGCCATCTGTGGTATGTTGTCAGGGTATGTCCAGTGATCATGATGATTTCTGTGGTATGTTGTCAGGGTATGTCAGTGATCATGACGACATCTGTGGTATGTTGTCAGGGTATGTCAGTGATCATGATGATGTCTGTGGTATGTTGTCAGGGTATGTCAGTGATCATGATGCCATCTGTGGTATGTTGTCAGGGTATGTCAGTGATCATGACGACATCTGTTGTATGTTGTCAGGGTACTGTAAACGTACTTATTTTCGCGTGGTGCAATTTTCGCGGAATTGACAGTTTAGACTACATCGCGCGGTCAATTATTCGCGCAATCAGTAATTGCCGGAACTGCCAGCCGTCTCTTTGGCCGCCACTAATAGCAGTGAAAACAAACAGAGTGGCCGAACCTGTCAGGCGGCATTTATTACTTACTCACAGGAAATCCGTATCTGTGCGATATACTAGTACACAGTAACCCGTTTACTCCCGGAAGAGATGAAAAACACATCAGTATTATGTTCAATTCTGACGATCTGACTAATTAACTTATGCTGTATATGAAGCTCTTTGTGATTTCAAACAAGCCGGGTTGTTGTGAATGAGATGATTGAGTGTTAGTGACTATTCGCTTCATGATGATACGCTTGTATCTAAATGAATAAATAAAATACTGCTGTATTATTTCTTTCCGAAGTCGCTTCGCGGTAATCTGTTTTGTATCAAACCATCTGTCATGTGACCAATTTCCATGGCGGCCACAACACACATTGCTGTTTTCGCTAATTCGGCCGATGGGATTTGGCTCATTATTTAATTATGTTTTGGGAAATCCATTACAGCGACAGTTAAGTTTGATTCTTTATGCTACTATCAGTCGCCATTTTAAGATTCCGTGAGATTTCTGTCTTCAAACTTGATGTGTTATGGTAACAACTCAGGGCGAAAGTGGCTAGACTGAATGAATGACAGGTTTATTCATGGGTATAAATTTTCGCTTAAAATGTTTGGCTACTAAAAAGCCGCCGAAAATAAAACCTGCGCGAAATATACTACGTTTACAGTATGTCAGTGATCATGATGCCATCTGTGGTATGTTGTCAGGGTATGTCAGTGATCATGATGACATCTGTGGTATGTTGTCAGGGTATCCAGCTGCTGACATACCTGTACCAGGAGACCCTGGAGGCAGTGAACACAGACAACTACCCCATGATGCTATCCATCCTACAGACAGCATGTGGACCCTACACAGTGTAAGAGTGGCCTCTGACATTTTCACACAATATCTGATAGGAATCTATGTTCCATTTGCTGGTTTCAAGTTGCAACATATTGGAAAGAAGGGAAAAGAAGAATACTAAAAGCTGGCAGTCCATTCCACAAATGTAGATACCATTGTTTTGTCTTTCTTGTAAATCAATAATGGAAATGGCATGTTCATTTTTCTACAATATAGCAAATCCGTTCTAAAATAGTCCTCATGATGCTTTATATATTTATCACTTTGGCAAGGACCACAGGACTAAAGTACTGTCGGAAATGCTAGAAAAATGCTTTTTAGCCTTAATATCTTTATAAAGGTGATAAATATACTATGTTGTCAATATATCAAGTCGCCTATTGTCTACCTCATTTTTATTTCAATCGATTTAACATTCCGATGCATTTAAAGGGCAGTTTACAGGAGAGAATTTGGTACCAAAACAGCAACAACAACAGAAATCTGAAATAGTCTTTACATTTATGCTAATAATACAGGTGGTGTAAAAATATGAAATAACGTTTTTCCTAAACAAATAAATGTTGAATGTTTGTGTTACTTTACTTAATTATCGTTTTCTTTATTGAAGAAATATTAATATAAATGTTAAGGCTTGATAAATAAGTTTCCCGTCATGCATGCACATCTTTATCACAGCGTCCACTATGGCCAACGATTTGCAGTCGATTGTTGCAAAGGTTTATAGTTTTTTTCTGCTTAAAAACGACAGAGGTAAACCTTTCATTAGTTTAGAAAGGGTTAATTACAGAACGTGTAGAGCTGTTGGCATGTCTTACCAACAAGTTTACAATATTGTAAACAAATCAGACAAGACAGGGACCGTCTCAAATGCAAAACCGGGACGTAAAACCATCCTTGACAACTTTGACAAGGGAGTGCTTAGACGGGAGGTCTACAAACTTTATGAGAAGAAAAATATATATATTCTAAAGAAGCTACACCAGTGACTTCGTTAAATCTTTGGCCAATGTTCACAACTAGAGTAAACTGACCGAATTACATCCATATTTTTCATTGAAATAAACTGTTGACATGCAAAACATTTATTAAAACGCTGCACATTTCTACAATCAATCGATAAGATAACACAAGTGATAGGATTCTTTCCAATGTACAGTAATTCGTGATGTTTATTTCAAAACAAACACACATGCACAAATGATCCCTTACATAACTGATAATGTGATACTATAATGCATACACATATTCAACATTTTGCAGAAAACATCTATTGAGATGACCCCTCACCGGAGCGTGTGCTCACGTGTCAATTTCACCTGTCGATAGCGTGCATGCTGATGACGTAACACAGGCAGTTAATGTTTGTTTCAAATAACGTCCCACTACCCCTTATTTTTCTAAGTTTTTGGTATTTTCATCAGTAAAAACACATTTTAGAGCATGTCTCAAAATTTATTCCCTCGGTCTACATTAGGTAGATGTTTCTTGAAGTGATATTTGTTATTTAAGTAACTGTAATACCTCTGAATTTTAAATATAAGTCAAAAAGCATTTTTCTAGCATTTCCGACAGTACTTTAGTGCCACTTTATATCACTGCACCAACATAGGACCACATGGCTGTTACTTAAGTATGAACTGTCTACATGAGCAGATGTACATATTCGTGTACATCACCTAGCTGCGGTATGTTTGATCTAACACTGTCATTGTCGGTACAGGTTCGTACAGGAGTGGGTGTTCCATGGCTCCTACAGAGATGTGTATGAAGAGTTCACCATCCAGGTCAACCACCATTATCTGGAGTACCGAGGTGAGTTGACAGACTACACACTGAGTCACACTGTGATGAGGTCAGGTGCCCATCTTTGGAGTACCGGGGTTAGTTACCTGATGTACAACCAGAGTAACGCTGTCTCACAGGTCTTTGCAAACACGTACAAAGATTCACTCAAGTTAGGATGCCTAAATACCCTGTATAGCCTTGACACTGTATATTAGAAGTGGTCAGGGAGAATTCTCACTAACTGGTCTCAATGGAGAGTCAGCATTGCCGTCCTTATGATCACTGCTTTTTGTGTTCAGTTTAGTGTAAATGAGATGTAGAACTTGGTTCTGTAGGAAATGTGTGCTTATAACAGACAATTACCATTGACTGATGGTACATTTCTTTTACCTGAAGGCATGGATCATTTCTAGGATATTGCTGACTAAGGTATTTTCCAAAACTCTGTGATGAGATAGAATGTTTTTCCTGCAGATAAGCACTACTGGACCAATGGCTATACCCTAGCTGCAGAACAGATAGAGGACAGTGCTCCTCTCTTTCTTCGTGACATGGCCAATGATATCTTCATCTGCGGGAAGACCATCAACCTTCTCAAAATCTGCTGTCCAGAGGTAGGTCTCACAGCATGGCTTTACAGGTCTCTGGATATTCTATCTCTGATAAGTGACCTTGTCCTTATTAATATGTGTGCTGATACAATATGTTTTTTTCAGCACTTTGTGTGTCAGGTTGATGACAATGACATCCCACACATGACAGTGACGTTTTCCGAGCGGCAGCTGTCAACGCTTGACACACGTTGTCAGATATATGTCAGCAAGATGCAGCAGATTGCCAGGAACCTCACCATATCCAGGTAAATAACCAAATCTATGGGTTGCCAGTCATATCCATGTAAAGAGCCAGTCTATGGGTTGCCGGTCATATCCAGGTAAGTAATAGATCCATGCATGCCAGTCATATCCAGCTAAGTAATAGATCCATGCATGCCAGTCATATCCAGCTAAGTAAAAGATCCATGCATACCAGTCATATCCAGCTAAGTAATAGATCCATGCATGCCAGTCATATCCAGCTAAGTAATAGATCCATGCATGCCAGTCATATCCAGGTAAGTAATAGATCCATGCATGCCAGTCATATCCAGGTAAGTAATAGATCCATGCATTCCAGTCATATCCAGGTAAGTAATAGATCCATAATATCCAGTCCATGCATGCCAGTCATATCCAGCTAAGTAATAGATCCATGCATGCCAGTCATATCCAGCTGCCATGCATGCCAGTCATATCCAGCTAAGTAATAGATCCATGCATGCCAGTCATATCCAGCTAAGTAATAGATCCATGCATGCCAGTCATATCCAGCTAAGTAATAGATCCATGCATGCCAGTCATATCCAGCTAAGTAATAGATCCATGCATGCCAGTCATATCCAGCTAAGTAATAGATCCATGCATGCATGCCAGTCATATCCAGCTAAGTAATAGATCCATGCATGCCAGTCATATCCAGCTAAGTAATAGATCCATGCATGCCAGTCATATCCAGCTAAGTAATAGATCCATGCATGCCAGTCATATCCAGGTAAGTAATAGATCCATGCATGCCAGTCATATCCAGCTAAGTAATAGATCCATGCATGCCAGTCATATCCAGGTAAGTAAAAGATCCATGCATGCCAGTCATATCCAGGTAAGTAATAGATCCATGCATGCCAGTCATATCCAGGTAAGTAATAGATCCATGCATGCCAGTCATATCCAGGTAAGTAATAGATCCATGCATTCCAGTCATATCCAGCTAAGTAATAGATCCATGCATGCCAGTCATATCCAGGTAAGTAATAGATCCATGCATGCCAGTCATATCCAGGTAAGTAATAGATCCATGCATGCCAGTCATATCCAGGTAAGTAATAGATCCATGCATGCCAGTCATATCCAGCTAAGTATCCATATGATGCATGCCAGTCATATCCAGGTAAGTAATAGATCCATGCATGCCAGTCATATCCAGGTAAGTAATAGATCCATGCATGCCAGTCATATCCAGGTAAGTAATAGATCCATGCATGCCAGTCATATCCAGGTAAGTAATAGATCCATGCATGCCAGTCATATCCAGCTAAGTAATAGATCCATGCATGCCAGTCATATCCAGCTAAGTAATAGATCCATGCATGCCAGTCATATCCAGGTAAGTAACCAATCTATGCGTTGCCAGTCATATCCAGGTAAGTAAAAGATCCATGCATGCCAGTCATATGCAGCTAAGTAACCAATCTATGGGTTGCCAGTCATATCCAGATATATACATGCTGTGGAGGTTTCCAGTCATATTTGGATGATTAACATACAATATTCAGTCTAACAACACACATTGTCAATAGTCCGCCCACACATCAGAAATCCTGGGCCCCGTTTCACAAAGCTCATGTAAGCCTAAGATCTTGTAACTTTTCTGGTAGCATTCGTACCTCCTATGTTACAGTATAGGAGGTACGAAAATTACGAGATCTTAGGCTTACGAGAGCTTTGTGAAATGGGGCCCTGGTTATTTGTGTGTAGCTGGAGTCAAGCCACCCTGCTCCAGACTATGATACCAGGATCAATGTTGATTACTGAAGCATGTTAATGACTTCAGGGAGCAGATGATGGAGCAGGCAGAGCAGGCGAAGCGGGACTTGATGGAGAAGGCTCACACAGTAGCTGCACAGGAGATTGCTAGACTACAAGGTTAGCTTATTCTGTGAAAAGAAGTGTCCTAGGACAATTTTGTTTCAACCTCTGATGGCAACTGGCATGATGCATCACATGTGTTTTGAGTAAATAGTGAAGTTAGGTCACTTGGAGATGAAGACTGAATAGGATATACTGTATAACTTAAATATCTTATTAAAGAATTTGTTACTTGTGCATGTATAGCAGTTAGGACTATGGAATATATGTAATTCTGTGTTGGTGATGACCATGTTCTTGGTAGACCCACACCTAACGTATCCCTTTCTCAATGTTGGTTTTGGGGTGTGACTGAAGTGGGGATTAGGAGGCCACAATGGGGCCGGGCCAGCCGATTTATGTCATCATGCTGTGACAAACTGAATGAAGTACTTTAACTCTTTCCTATACCGTGCCCTTTTTGTGTGCATATAAACATTCATGATAGTTCATGATGTCCATGTTGACAGCTAAAATCGACGAGAGGAAGAAGGCTGCTGACATTAAGAAGAGGCAGGAGTTCCAGCGGCTGAAGAGTCAGATGGTCACAGACCTGCAGGTGGGTGGAGAGAGTCTTTACACAGATGGAAGAGAGCCTACCTGAACAAGGAACCAGTGTGAAGTTCCAGGAGCTAGTTACAGATGTGTTGTGACGCTGGTCCATCTTGTGTTGTAGAGGCGTGCAGGGGAGAAGGAGCAGAGCGCGGAGGAGGACAAGGAGCACATGGCCCGACTGACCCGGTCGGAGGCTGCTATGGAGGCTCAGGAGTTGAAGCTGGAACAGGAGGCCAGGTAGGACCTGGGGGGAAGGGTTAGCCAGGAGACCTGGGAAGAAGGGGATAGCCAGGTAGGACCTGGGGAGAAAGGGTAATCAGGAGGCCAGGTAGGACCTGGGGGGAAGGGTTAGCCAGGAGGCCAGGAGGACCTGGGAAGAAGGGGATAGCCAGGCAGGACCTGGGGAAAAGGGGAGGCCAGGTAGGGGAGAAGGGTTAGCCAGGTAGGACCTGGGGAGAAAGGGTAATCAGGAGGCCAGGTAGGACCTGGGGGGAAGGGTAATCAGGAGGCCAGGTAGGACCTGGGGGGAAGGGTTAGCCAGGAGACCTGGGAAGAAGGGGATAGCCAGGTAGGACCTGGGGAGAAAGGGTAATCAGGAGGCCAGGTAGGACCTGGGGGGGTAAGGGGCCAGCCAGGAGACCAGGGAAGAAGGGGATAGCCAGGTAGGACCTGGGGAGAAAGGGTAATCAGGAGGCCAGGTAGGACCAGGTAGGACCTGGGGACCTGGGGAAAGGGGTTAGCCAGGAGACCTGGAAGGGGGATAGCCAGGTAGGACCTGGGGAGAAAGGGGGGTAGGACCAGGAGGCCAGGGAAGAAGGGACCCAGGGTAGGACCTGGGGAGAAAGGGTAATCAGGAGGCCAGGTAGGACCTGGGGGAAGGGGTAATCAGGGGAGGCCAGGTAGGACCTGGGGAAGGGGTTAGCCAGGAGACCTGGGAAGAAGGGGATAGCCAGGTAGGACCTGGGGAGAAAGGGTAATCAGGAGGCCAGGTAGGACCTGGGGGGAAGGGTAATCAGGAGGCCAGGTAGGACCTGGGGGGAAGGGTTAGCCAGGAGACCTGGGAAGAAGGGGATAGCCAGGTAGGACCTGGGGAGAAAGGGTAATCAGGAGGCCAGGTAGGACCTGGGGGGAAGGGTAATCAGGAGGCCAGGTAGGACCTGGGGGGAAGGGTTAGCCAGGAGACCTGGGAAGAAGGGGATAGCCAGGTAGGACCTGGGGAGAAAGGGTAATCAGGAGGCCAGGTAGGACCTGGGGAGAAAGGGTTATCAGGAGGCCAGGTAGGACCTGGGGGGAAGGGTTAGCCAGGAGACCTGGGAAGAAGGGGATAGCCAGGTAGGACCTGGGGAGAAAGGGTAATCAGGAGGTCAGGTAGGACCAGAGGAGAAGGCCAGGTCAGGCGGGGCACCTAGAGCTTTTGGTATTTGGGAGGGGCTAGCTAGGGAAGAGGCCAGGTGCGAGCTGAGTAGCTAGCTAGGGAAGAGGCGAGCTGAGTAGCTAGCTAGGGAAGAGGCGAGCTGAGTAGCTAGCTAGGGAAGAGGCCAGGTGCGAGCTGAGCAGCTAGCTAGGGAAGAGGCCAGGTGCGAGCTGAGTAGCTAGCTAGGGAAGAGGCCAGGTGCGAGCTGAGCAGCTAGCTAGGGAAGAGGCCAGATGCGAGCTGAGCAGCCAGCTAGGGAAGAGGCCAGGTGCGAGCTGAGCAGCTAGCTAGGGAAGAGACCAGGTGCGAGCTGAGTAGCTAGCTAGGGAAGAGGCAAGGTGCGAGCTAGGAAGAGGCCAGGTGCGAGCTGAGCAGCTAGCTAGGGAAGAGGCCAGGTGCGAGCTGAGCAGCTAGCTAGGGAAGAGGCCAGGTGCGAGCTGAGCAGCTAGCTAGGGAAGAGGCCAGGTGCGAGCTGAGTAGCTAGCTAGGGAAGAGGCCAGGTGCAAACTGAGCAGCTATGGTAGAAGTCAGCTGGAAAATTGACACGCCAGATTTGAGGAAGGGTTTTGTGAGATTACATGTTTCTAACGTGGTAGACATTTTGGTCAGTGTCAAGGATGATATTACCATCATTAAAAGACCTGTATTGTGTTCATGTAAGTGTCATGTGGAAGTTATAGTGAGGCTGAATGACTGCTACAGGGAGGAGCTAATCAAGTACTACGCCGACCTCAGTGAGGAGGCAGCCCAGAGAGAACAGAAGGCCCTGTGGAAGGTGCGGCGCGCACGACTAGAGCTGGCCAGGATGGACTTCCTCTCAGCCGACCAGGAGAAGTGGAGAAGAGAGATGGAGGAAGCTACTGAAGCCAAGGTAGGGACACTTCTCAGATTCAAATCTTTTTACAGATGCTGACAGCAATGGTGTTTATATGTAACCCTGCCAGGGAGGGAGCTATCTGGTCAATATGGATCCTCCAGTCTGCAGCATGGAATTAAGAACTTTCAAGTTCATGTTTATATAGTTATGACCAATCTTTGTGAAGGTGACTTTTCATTTCACTGATAGGACCAGTATAGACAAATAGGTCTTGATGGTAAGTTTAGGTTATTGTAATGATTGCAGACTTATAATATAATAAATACCTTGTGTGGAAAACTATTTTAAGGTACCAATTTTGAACTAAGTCACATTTGTTCTCATATGGCAATGGCAGCCAATGTGATGCAATTTGGAATATGTGTATTCATAACTGGATGTCATGTTTTGTTGAAATCATTAAGAATGTGTTGATATAAAATCCTCAGTATTTATGTAGAAAACGTTATGATATCTATCTTTGTTGCATTTGTTATTGTTGACATATCAAGGATAGCTACAAGTATTTGGCTCTATTTTATTCAAATGGTATTATTTAGGTTGTCACCTGAACAAACCAATTATCACCAGTAATTGATGATAATACTGCACCAAAGAAAACTGACAACTCATGTTTTCTGACACAGTTAATCGTGACTGAATACTGTATTACCTTTTTGGTATTTTGTCTCTCTCTAAGGCTGTCCTGGAACGTGACCAAGACTCCAGCTTGCCTGTGTGGGCAGAGAATGTCAGTGACAGCCCAGATGGGAAACCTGTGATAGCAGACAACACAGAGCCTGATGTTGCAGCTCTACCAAGCTGGGCAGAGCGCGGACTGACTGCACCCCCAGCTGCTGTGTATGGTCTCGATACATCGGCTAAACAGAAACTGCCTGGGTGGGCTAAGAAAGGGCTTGAGACATACAGTGTTGAGGAAGAGCCTATTGTAGTGGAGGGGGGTGATGGAGACGGACTCCATGATGGGGTGTTTGTGTCCCCAAGGAAGAAAACTGGGCTCCGAATGAATGAATCCTTTAATGCTTCCAAGGAGTCGGAAGAAAGCCCAGAGAAGAAGACCGTTCGTGTGTTTGAAGAGATGCATTGTACAACGGAATCAGATGTAGCAGATGCTGCCAAGCCGCAGGTAAAGCTGATGCAGGACCGACATGCAACAACTGAGACTGTTCCAGATGAAGAATACAAACCCAATGTGAAGGTATCCGAGGAAATGCATGCTACGAAGGAAACCGAGAGTTCAGAACAGAAGCCACACATCAAGGTCGTCCCTGATGTCCATGCAAACATGGAGTCTACGTCAAGCCAGGAGTTATCTGCACCCAAGCTGAAGAGACAAAACGAACAGCATGCAAATGTTGAAACATCCTCAAAAGAATGGAAAGTGAAAAAGCAGAGTTTCTTTGGGCATGTTTCGAAACTTTCTGGTTTGGAATATGATATCACAGCTCCCAAGTTGAAAAAACATGCTGAGATCTATGCCAATTTGCAGTCTGACACAAAAGACTTTTCCATCCGTCCGAGCATAAAGATTAACAAAGCCATGATGGTGAATATGGAGAGTGAGCCGGCAGAAGTTACACCAATGATCCGAGTGGACAAACACCGGGCACATCCTCAAGGAGTCTGAGTTTGTGGATCTGGATGAACAGAGGTTGAAGAAGTTTAGGATCAGAAACATCCACGGCCATTCGTCTGACTCAACAGTGCAGAAATTGTTGTATGGAGAAAAGTATGGCAGTCCTAGCAGTGAACGAGGGGGGAAGGCGTTGGAACATGCAACAGGTGAGAGCAGAATGTAGTAATGTTCACTGTATACTTTGTACCAGAAGTGATAGGTAACTGTTGGACCATTGGTGAAGTTTTGGGTCTTGTATTCTTTTTCAGAGAGATCGTCCTTGGGGTACATATTATGCATTTTCCGGCTGAAAAATGTCCTGTGACAGTTGTATCAATGTTTTTTGAATAAAAAGATTGTACAATAAATAAACTCTTTTATTTATTATACGGACCCTACCTCACGGAGTTACCTCCCTTAGCGCATGCGCACCAACTGGGTAGGCTCCTAGACCCGTATCATCATTCCTTCTGCTGTCACGGCCGTGAACAGACGTGTTTGATAACCCATTCATGAGCCGGACGGCGCTGTTAAAAAGATATGTCTGAGACACCACCTGTATGTATGGTCTTTATTTGTCTAAAACAAGAACAGTAAAGCTTTACAGTTGGTTGTTTCATAATTGTGACTTTGTATTAATACTAAATACGCTTAACTTTCCCCGCGGTTACGCACGCGTTGCTCTGCCATGGCGGGAAGTTTAGCGTGCGCGCCATGTGGTCGTAATATTGCGTGATTAAAACCAACTATTACTTTCCGCGGGTAACCTTCACGAAGTTTTTCAATGTTTTCTACGCGTTTATATGCTGCTGGCCGCTGCTCACTAACACGCTTTGCGGTTTGTTTCAGGCCTTTTCATGCTGTTCGGTCTGTGAGGGAGAGTATCCCCGGGCCGACAGTCATACGACGAGCTATGCGTGGCCTGTCTGGAGAAGACAGGCCATGAGGCTGACTCCTGTCCTATTTGTCTGGCCTTTTCCCCGGCCCAGAAGAGGCGGGCTGCCGACACCTTGTTCTATCGCTGAATGCGGGAGGCGGGAGGGGACCTGACGCAGGTTCCCCGCCTAAGTCCAAACGTGGTCAAAAAGGGGAAAAAATCCCGTGGCCCTTCCCCTCTCCTGCCACTTCGAAAGTGGTTTTGACATGTCACTGATGGAGTCTATGTTTCAGCAGCAGATGGACTCGATGAAGTCCTTCGCTCGCGGAGTCGGTTGGAGGTCTCCGCAGGAGTTCCTCACCCACTCCGGACGGGGCGGAGAGTCCGGGTGGGATCGCCGGGCTCGCTCGATCCCTCGGCCTTGAGGCGCCTGTAGATCCGCTGCCTCTGGCTTCGATCCGGACGCCTCGGCTGCTCCGAGAGGGAGGGGCTCCCAGTCCCTCTCTCGGAGCTCGCGCGGGGCCGCTGAGTATTCCTGGTATTCCGTCTCTGCGCGACACCCCGCCCCATGAGAGCCGAGGCACCAGTTCTGCCTGGCCTGCCTCCAGCGCCTGGACCGGGGTCCACGCACGCCGGGCTGGCGCTGACGGGGAGCAGTCTGTCTGTTCTTCCCTTCCTGTGGTTCCTAGCGCTAGGCAGTCCACCGGTCGGGTTAGGGTCCTCTTACGGAGGAGACCCAGCCTCTGACTCGGGCTCGGGACGCCGAGGCAATGGAGCTTGGGGAGGTCGAGGAGCATGACGGCGGCTTCCGCTTTGCTTCGCCTTGCGGGAGGTCCGCAGAGAATTGCCGAGGGCCTACCCCAGGCCGCTGGTGCCTGCTGGTAGCGTGGACTCGACTGAGTTCCGCTTTGCCTGGCGCAGGCGCTTGCCCCTAGGCAACCCTCACAGACGCAGCTCCGCATTCTGCCATCGCTGGTCTCGGACGTGGTCGATCCCTCTTGTCTGGTGCCCGAGTAAGGTTTGACTTACCTGAACTCGTCGGCGGGCGCTACCAGCTTGGGGAGGATTCCCTGTTCGCTGTACCGATTGTTGACGAATGTGTTTTCACTTCCGCCGCCTCTGGGGAGGCTCGGCTTCCTCCGAGCAGCTCCGCTGCTCGGCAAGGGCTTCTAACTCCACCTTTTGCCTCGCTGGCGCCTCTGGCGGCACGCGCACGCATACCGGACCTACGAGGAGGTCTACCGGAACGCCGATGCAGCAGGTGCGGTGGTGGTCCATGAGGCCTACCTCACCTCGGTTCAGAGGTCGGCCCTGGAGGCGGAGGGGCATGCTGGCGGCGACGTGTCGCCGCATGTCGTGGCTGCTCCGCCAGCTTTCGAAGTGCAGGCTCACCTCGCCACGACTCTTTGGCGGTCTGCTGCGCCGACGGTGATGTGCGCAGTCATGGGGATGCGCCGGCTGTGGCTGTCGACGCCTAGGTACTCGGCAGCAACACAGCAGACCTTGCTGGCCCTCCCTTTCCGTCTGGGAGCGACCCTCTTTCCAGGGGCCCAGCAGGTCATACGGGAGGCTGCCGCTGCAGCTACCTCCTTCAAGGACTCTAAAGCCTTGTTGGAGCACCCGCTGGTGTCTCGCCTCAAGCCCCGCGCCACCTTCCTCCGCCCGGGTGCAGCCTACACCGAAGTCTGCCGGGCTGGCTTCGCCGCTTGGTAGGGGTAGGCGGAGGAACAGGTCCGCCAAGGGTAGGGGCAAGGAGCAGTCCTCGACTAGCTCCCAGCCTTTTCGCGGGCTCGGGAGGTCTGCCCCGACCTCCCGTTAACCCAACAGGCTGCCGCTCAAGCCGTGTGTCACACCCAGTCAGCTCCGCTACTAGGGTCCACGCACGCTTCCTACCCCATATCCCAGTGGGGAGGTCAGCTCTCTCTATTCCTGCCGGAATGGGAGAAGGCTACCAACAACGCTTTGGGTGCTGGCCACGGTCAGCATAGGCCATCTCCCACTGTGGAAGCGAGGTCCGCCGACTTCACCGGCATACGCGCGACTCGGTGCCGCCATGCCTGCCAGGGCGGACATATTGCGCGACGAAGTTCAGGCTCTGCTGGACAAGTCCGCAATCGAAGCGATTCCACCGGGAGAGGAACAGGCGGGATTTTACTCCACGCACTCCCTCGTCCGAAGAAAGACGGCGGGTTCCGTCCGATTCTCAACCTCAAGGGGTTGAATCGCGATGCTTTCAAGTACCATCCTTCAAGATGGAGACACTGCGCCGGGTGATCTCATCTGTTCAGCCCGGCGATTGGCTCACGCCAATCGACCTAAAGGATGCGATTCAGATGTACCCATACATCCCTCGCTCAAGCAGTACCTCCGGTTCTCTTACGGCGACGGGATGTATTACCAATTCAGGGTGCTCCTTCGGCATATCGACTGCCCCAAGGGTGTTCACCAAGCTCATGTTAGTCCCAGCTACCCTAGCTCGCCGCAAAGGAAGGCGCTTGTTACCCTTACCTAGACGACTGGTTGCTCGGAGCACTAACACAGCCAGCGAAGTCAAGATGCTACTCACACAGTGATAGACATTCTAACTCGACTGGGGTGGATCATCAACCTCAAGAAATCCGACCTGGTACCCACCCAGGACTTGGTTTTTCTTGAGCGCGATTCCAAACGAAACAAGGATCTCGCTTCCTTGTCGCCCGACCGGGTCACCAGAGATCGGGAGATGGTATCTTCATTCCTCTCCCAGCCCCAGGCACCAGCACGGACTTGGCTCCGCCTACTGGGCCATATGGCGGCGGCGATCTCTGTAGTGTGGCGGCGCTGTTGAGGATGCGCCCCATACAGCAAGCTTTGGCTCGGCTGTGGACTCACACGGAGGATCTGGAGCGCAGTCTCACAGTCCCCGAAAGTGGTTGACACCTCACCTTCAGTGGTGGACAAATGTCGGAATCTCACCAGGGGTTCCCTTTGAAATCCCGACGCCAGCTCTCACAGTTCAGACAGATGCGTCCCTCACGGGCTGGGGGCGTTCTGGAGCAGTCTGTCGGCTTCCGGACTCTGGTCCGAAGTCGGCTCACCTTCACATCAACGTGTTGGAGCTGAGAGCTGTGCGGTTGGTATTCGAAGCTTCAGAGAGCATGTCCGTGGCCAGGTAGTCCGTCTTCAGTTAGACAACCAGACGGCCATGTCGCATATCCTGAAGCAGGGAGGCACGGTGTCCCCAGCGCCTCGGGGAAGCGTGGGACTTTCTCCTCTGGAGCCACCAGTACGCATTGTCAGGTACTCCCTGTTTATCTCCGGGGCTGGAGAACGGCGGCGAGCAGATGCGCCTCTCGCCGGATCCTGGCCCCGCGACGAAAGTGGATGCTCGACAGGCAGATATTCACAGTAATCTCCCAGTTGTACCGGTCGCTCGAGGTGGATCTGTTTATGCCGGCGGGGACGCATCAGACACCCGTGTTCTGCTCTCGAATACCGGACCAGAGGGCGTTGGCTGCCGACGCCTTCCTGCTGGATTGGACGGGCAAAGTGCTCTGGGCGTTCCCGCCGTTACCACTCATTCCCCGTGTCCTTTCACAGCTGTCCACCCAGCCAGCTCGGCTACTTGTGCTACTGGCACCGCTTTGGCCGTCACAGAGCTGGTTTCCGGTAATTCTCAGGTTTCTGGCTCAGCCTCCTGTTCTATTACCTTTGGCGAATCGACATTCTCACTCAGAACGGAGCTTCCACCCAAATCCACGGATTCAGTGGGTGGCTTGGCCTCTGTCAGGTCTAACCTCGAGGCACGCTGGAATTCCTGCAGCAGTTGCAGACACAATTCTGGCTTCGAGGCGGGATTCGACAAACGTTCAGTACGAGGATAGGTGGTCCCGCTATGCGCGCTGGTGTTCAGATCAGGGGATCCCTTTTCTGCGGATTTAGTCCGAGTTTTGGAGTTTTTGCAAGCTCGTTTGGAAGAAGGCCTGGCGGCTTCGACCATTCGCGGCTACTCCACCGCTATTTCCACTTTTCACACCCCTGTCGATGGTGCTCTTCTGGGGCAGCACCCTCTCGCATAGCGCTTTCGCTGGCGCTGAACGGATTCGACCTGCTCTCAGGCTTAACCAGTCCACCTTTGGGATTTGTCGATCGTGTTTTCGATTGGCTGTCCGTCCCACTTTCTCACACCTATCGGCTATTTCCATTCAGTTGTTGACCTGGAAAGCTGTTTTTCTGGTGGCGGTAACATCTGGTCGAAGAGTCGGCGACTTACATGCTATGTCGTCCGACCCGGCGCTGACTGTGTTTCACACGGATCGTGTCAGTATTCGCCTCCCAGATACTTACCGACCGAAGGTCGATCACGCTTTCATGTGACAGCTCCTATCGAACTTCCTACTCTTACCCAGCCTTCCACATCGGGGACCACTCCTACGAGCACTCACCCGCTGGATGTCCGTGAAGACGCCAAAGTCTATCTCAAACGAACGCAGGGGATCCGTGACGGGTACCCAGCTGTTCTGTTGTTACGGTGGCGGAAGGCTGGTCTGCCAGCGAAAGCAAGCAGACTTTGTCTCGCTGGCTAGTATCGTGTATTTGTGCCGCTTATCAGGCTAAGGGCAAGCCTCCCCTGAGGGTTGAAGGCTCACTCGGTCAGGGCAGTAGCCGCGATCAAAAGCTTTTGCATCGGCACTCCCCATTGAAGAGATCTGCTCTGCCGCTATTTGGAGCCGCCAAGCACGCGAGCACGCCATTATCAGCTCGATACACATTCCGCAATCGCAAAAACTTTGGTCAGTACTGTTCTCTCCAGTGGACAGTGTCCTGCCACCCTGACCGAAAGTGAGTCTTGGTTTATTGGTTTGTTTTGACGCTACTGTACAATAAGATTCCATTATTGACATGTCTGCTAATGTGAGCTCACTCAGAGAACCTGTACCCCTTCGATTCTCACGGAGTTACTGTATCGTTAGTGAGTGGTATTTTGTTTTCCCCCTCGGTGCTCTCATGACAGAAGCCACTTAGTGGGTCGGATTCGTTGATATTCGCACTACGTGCAATGTCTCATTATGCTAGAGGTCGCCTTTGAGCACAAATCCTCCCTGTCAGTTCCCTCCCATAATGCCTCTCAGCGAAGCTTAAACTGGGTCGAGTGACAGGTGAGTGTTATGGCGCCTGTTCAATTTTTTTCCATGATACGATCGCTATATTTTGAGTGTGCTTGGACAGAATTCCCTCTCCCTGGCCTCCGGTCTTTGGGAGTCTGTGTTTATGCATAATATGTACCCCAAGGACGATCTCTGAAAAGAATTAACCAAACCTGCAGAGGTTTTCAATTCTTTGAAGAGAGTCGCCCTTGGGTAGGGCCTCCCACCTCCCCGCAATTCTGTTCACTGATAAGAATTCAGCAGAAGGAATGATGATACGGGTCTAGGAGCCTACCCAGTTGGTGCGCATGCTCTAAGGGAGGTAACTCCGTGAGGTAGGGTCCGTATAATAAATAAAAGAGTTTATTTATTGTACAATCTTTTTATTCAAAAAACATTGATACAACTGTCACAGGACATTTTTCAGCCGGAAAATGCATAATATGTACCCCAAGGACGACTCTCTTCAAAGAATTGAAAACCTCTGCAGGTTTGGTTAAGTTTGTGTGTGTTTGCTTGGTAATAATGATGCTGATTTTCTGTTAGACACCAGCACAGACATCATGGCTGCTGCAGCGTCTGACTCCATGTGGATGGATAACGAGATAGAGCAGTACCAGGACAACTTCGACTGCCTCAGTGAGTTCAGCTTACACTTCAGCTAGAGATTCTGTTGAATCAACTTAGTGTCATGAGTTAATGTTTCTAATGTATGACCATATTGCTCTAGCAAACAAATAGAGATGTAACTTCTTTGAGTGGAATTTAGAAGTTGTTGTGATGAACAAGGGGCATAGTTCTATGGATATACAACATCCTAATTACAATATATGCAATGTTTTGATAACATTTTTTTGATTAGCATCTACCCCAAAATATATAGCATATATTGTAATGAAGTAGTTGTAATTCCATAAAACTATTCCCCTTATTCATAAAGAAATGTAACAGTGGAGAAAATATGTTTTGGAGGCAAATGTGGATTAATACATTCATATCATTCCTGTGAAATAAATGTTTGAAAACATTATTGAGAACAGAAGTGGTCAGGTTTTCAGATTCACAGAGGTGGTCTGGATAATAGCCGCATATGTTGGGAATGTTAGCATGTTGATCCTCACATTGCCTGTGTTACTGCAGATGAGCCTCCAGTCACTGACCTGATGGCTTCGACCCCCATGGCATATGGTAGCTGGGGGGACTATGGCATCAGCTTAGAGGGAGAGGTCGAGGCTTTCCGATACATGCCTCTGCCAGCCTTACTACACAGGACAATCACGGCCTCACTCAAAGCCCAGTAAGTTCTAACTTAAACACAGATCATGCCTGATTCGCCCATTCTGTACAACTGTATTCTTTCAATTTCAGGGTCATGTTATTTTTTGTTCTATTCTATTTTGAAACAAACTGTTCAGTTGACAAATGTTATCAACACAAAGCAGCAACACATGAAGTGTGGATGTGTCACTGCCCACTGTCTCCCTGCTACTATTGTAGCCACACTGTACAGGCTGCTGATGTATTGCTCACATGCAACTACCCTGTCATCCTTTTTCAATTACATATATACTTATAAAAATTACACAGCTTGCTCATACCATCAACCGCTGGTCCAGACTTGATTATTTACAGGCTACTGTAGCCGGAATTCTGCTTTCTGCAGTATAAAATAAGAAACAAAACCATGGTTGTAATGTGTGTGTTCTGATTTTCCACCTTTGTAGAATCAGCCTTGTGAACAAGTGCATCATCGACTACTTCTTCTCTGAACTGAAGATACAAAGTCATTTTGAGGCCCTCAGAAGCTTCCTGTTCATGGGAGATGGAGACTTCGCTCAGATTCTGAGTGATGTCCTACTAGACAAGGTGAGATATTAGTCAGTCATAAAATATTTGAAATAATTTAACGTCATGAAAGCCATTGGGCTTTTCGTTCAAATTGTGGTACTTGGAACTTGTGAGAATTTCTGTTCCCTCTATTTCGGGGGCAAATTGTTTGTTCTGTCGCATGTTTTGTGACATGTTGTGTTATGACTCCAGCTTGCCCAGAACCCACTGCCTCAGGAGATGCTCAACCCTTTCTTCCTGAATGGAGCCCTGACGAAATCACTGCAGTTGTCCATGCACTCGGCAGACAAGTTTGCTGACAATCTCAGCTTCGCTGTCAAGTACACTCCTGCAGTCTTCCAACCTAATGGTAAGTGTCGGTGGACCAAACCTGAATGTGGTCCATGGCTTATGCAGTAACCTTTCAGGAGTCTTTATAGTTGATTGTTTGATGTTTAACGCCACACTCAGCAATATTCAGAATATATGGTGTCAGACTGTGTATAATTGAATCTGGACCAGACAATCCAGTGATGAACAGCATGAGCACTCCTCTACGCAACTGGGAACAGATAACATGTTTCAAACAAGACAGCGAGTCTGACCACCTGATCCCGTTAGTCGCCAAGCATGGGTTCAGCAGTCATTAACACAAGGGAATAGAAGCATGAGTGTCTGTAACACTACATACATATACACACTCACTGTACAAAGGCTCAAACAATGACCAGGAGTGCATGTGAGTGTCAGTGATCCTGTAGGGTAGAGACTCTTGAGTCACCAGGTTATCAATACATTGCAGGTTGACACCTAGAGATAGAGAATACAAGTGAAATAATGGTGTAATGATACATTATTGTGTCTCAGTATGCGGTTCACGATACAGCTTATCAATTTACAACTCCTGTGTCACAATACATACAATTCATACATTATTGATGTTAAAATATGTGAATTTTAACATAAACTTCTAGAACCAACTGATGCAGATTCTGTAGTATTTCCTGGTTGGCTATAAATACCAGAATCTGCACAGTGTCTCCAAGGTTATATAATTCTCGCCTACAATATCACATATTCGCTGTCTAAAAGTTTGAAACAAATATTGTAGGGTTATGATTCACCTGCAGAAAGGGAGAGAATATGAAGTTAAGAAATGAAAGTGCTGCATTGAATTACAAACTGTATTGCCCCCATGTTATTGGGATACATACTCGTATCATATCGCAGCCTCACCATATCATTACACTTCTACAGGATATTTCTAATAATGTATTCGCATGCATTCCTTGATGTTTTGATTCTATACAGTAACAGCTGCCTTTTAGTGAACTTATATAACAGCGCTTTGTTTGTATACACTGAAAGAATACAAACGGCTGTGGGTTGTGAGACCGAAGCATTTATTTTGTGTTTACGTTTAATTACAGCCTGAAAGAACATAAGGAAATATATAAAATGGAATCAAATGAATATGTACATATTTTTCCTTATCCTGACTCATGCTTATTGCTTGTCTCCCTTTCCTTCTGAATGCTAGTGGAACACTTGAATCCCCTTTTGAAGCTCCCTTCAAAAAAGCGGACGTAAAATCACTTACCAGGAGTCATCTCCCTTCTCAGGTTTTGGCGGGAAACGGCGCCACCTGTCTCCCATGCTCCTCTCTCTCTCCTGATTCGCCCGAGTGGGCGGTTGTGAGAGCACCTGGTCCCCTATACGGCAGTATATCCTTTTATTATTTAGGCCTTTCTTCTAAATTAGCTGTTTAAGGCTTTAGTTAACGTTTACCTACAATATTCTACGGAATTTATTCTCAAATTTCTCTGTTTTATCACGTTTTTACGTGACTATTCACATTGTTTACAATTGATGAAATCTTGTTCTGGTTGTAGGTATCGATTGTCTGCTGTTGATCCACATAACCTATGTCCTAATTGCAAGCCCGTATGTTTATCTGACACTCGTTGTCAGTTGTGTTTTCACCTGTCTGATATTTCATTTTACAAATATTCATATTATCTGTCTAGAGTGAGTGAGTGAGTTTAGTTTAACGCCACACTCAGCAATATTCCAGCTATATGGCAGCGGTCTGTAAATAATCGAGTCTGGACCAGACAATCCAGTGATCAACAGCATGAGCATCGATCTGTGCAATTGGGAACCGATGACATGTGTCAACCAAGTCAGCGAGCCTGACCACCCGATCCCGTTAGTCGCCTCTTACGACAAGCATAATCACCTTTTATGGCAAGCACATGGGTTGCTGAAGACCTATTCTACCCCGGCATCTTCACGGGACTTATCTGTCTAGACGTGCAAAGGACAGGTCCAGACGAGATTTACACGACATGTCTAAACCGGCTAAGCTTGCAGAGGACCGGCAGTTGGTGTCTGCGCAGATTCACCATTCCAGTGGTCTACCGGGGTCGTCTACGGAGGAGGTTGCCGCCATAGACAACGCTGGCTCGAGGAAGAGGTCATCTACATCAGATAATTCCTCTTCGCAGTCTAAGAAGACTAGGGCATCATCTTCCCAGAGGAAAGAAGTCAGCTACAACTAAGACTTCGTCGAAGTCTCCACATGGGGCAACGCAGAAAACGAGGTCTTTTTCAGCTGAGATCGTCCCTCTGGAAGAAATAGATGTCTACGATGAGCCGCCCATCCTCATCCCTGAGATCACATCTAAGAAGAAGACGAAGACGTCTTCTACAGTGACCACGCAGGACAACCTTTCAACGCAGACGTTTGGCAGAAAGGGTCAACGCCCTTCGGAAGAAGCCTCATCCGTCTCAGATGCGTCGTCAGTACAACAGACAACGCAGACCTTCAACCCGGCTTTATGCAGCAATTTACCCAACAGATGTCGGATCTGATGGAACAAACGGTTCGCGACGCCGAGAGCTGCAACGAAGACGACGCCTGCGACGAACCCGAGTGAAGGTCAACTGAGCTGCACACCACGTCCGTTGGGAACCAACGTCCTGCAGAGCATACAGGAAGATTCCAGCTCGACTACAGCGTCCGCACGAATACCTGGCAGCCATACCAACGTGGAACCTGCACCAACTACGTTCAGCGGAAGGACTAGACATTCGCCGAACCCACGTAGATCATCATCGACGTCAGATACGGACGTTCGTCACGAACCTGCACGTAACGGTTCGTTACCAAGGAGAAGAGAATCAACACCCGTACGAAGGCATAGAGATTCGTCACAAGTCACGAACGTATGGTTCCCCACGAAGGTCACCACGCAGGTCGCCTTACAAATCGCCACACAGGTCACCACACAGATCGTCTTACAGATCACCTTACAGATCTCCTCGTTCAGACGACAATAGCAGACATCCATCCTCAGAGCAGGAAGATGACGGCGGAATTATATTTTCCGACTTGGAAATCAAGTCATGGATGGCCAACGGTTTGGAACTCGCATCACCCTCTAAGGAGACCAATGAAGCACTATCGTCCTTGATGGTGAATGATGATATAGACACACTCACGATGCCACCTATCGACCCTGTCTTAGACGTTCCAGACAACCTCAACACAGCCTTCAAGAAGGCAACTAAATACCAGTATTCCGTCGTTCAACGCTAAGAAGTTCTCTCTACACCACATGGAACCCTTCATGAAGACTCCAGAGATAGATGAGAATTATAAGGTCATCAACGACACTCGGACGAAATCTTACAAGATAGAAGATAAAAAGCTGGCACAGTTAGACACAGTAACCAGACGAACCTTCTTCGGCCTAGCCAGGTCAAGAGCTAGCAACGAGACCCTCATCTCGAAGTTTAAGAATTCAACTTCAGAGGAAGATCGAATGCTTTATTCAGTTCTACTTACACAGAAAAAGGATCATCAGTTCATGTCTGAACACCTATCATCCATTTCTGCAGGCTTAACATTATCAAGAAGGCAAGGACTGTTATCTTCCTGTACTTGGAGCGAGAAATTTACCAAGACACTCTACAGAGCCCCTTGGTCAGCACCATCCATTTTTGCAGAAGAAATTGATGAAGTCGCCAAAGAAGTCGCTAAACATTCCCGAGAAGTGATGATGATCAAGTCTATCGATACACTGGCCAGTGTGATACGTCAGACCTCCCAACGTTATTCCGGCAAATCAAAGTTTGCAGGCATCCTGAGAGCAAGGGATAAGAAATTAGGCAACGCTAAAGGGAATAAGGATTCTTTTAGGTAAGCCCATCCGCAGCTCCAAGAGGTAACTTCACGAAGAGGTCGGCCCTTTCGGCGCCAGAAGTTCCAGACGATGAAATACAGGTTCGGAACACCTGGAGTCTTCCACCCCCAGCCGTTCCAGTACAACCCTCACAAGTGGGTGGACGTCTGCAACTCTACTGGAAGAATTGGGGAATTCTTCAAGACGACTTCGTATCTCAGATTCTACGCATAGGTTACAGGATACAGCTACAAGCAGTACCACCAGTAACAATCAACCCACTGGTTCACAACTACGCTGCAGACCAGAAGGGAAATCTACTAGAAGCCATCACATCTCTACTAGAGAAAGAGGCAATAGAAGAGATAAAACAAGACTGCGTCACACCAGGTTTTACTCTCCAATTTTTCTGGTACCAAAGAAAAACTCAAAAGAAAAGTTCCGACTCATTTACAACATGAGGAAATTCAACAAAGATTACCTCCTAACATCCGCAAAGTTCAAGATGATACATCTACCACAACTACGACATCTCATACGTCCGCTAGACTATCTCGCCAGCATAGATTTACAGGATGCATACTTACACATCCCGATCCATCCGGAGTCAAGGAAATATCTGCGATTCCTGTTCAACGGACGTCATTTCCAATGGAAGGTCCTGCCATTTGGAATATCGTCGGCCCCCTGGTTGTTTACTCGAGTGACAAAGCCCATCAATATATATCTACATCGCCGAGGTCTCACGCGAGTGCGCTCTACCTAGACGGGCGGATTCAAGCTCAGCAAGATCCCAGTCAACTCAGACTGCAATTGAACTTCACCATCAGACTTCTCACTCAACTAGGATGGCTAGTAAATCTCCTCGAAGTCGAACTAGAGCCTACTCAGGAATTACAATTCCTAGGAATACGGCTTATAACAACGAAGAATCGCATTCTCGTTCCAGAGGATCGTTGGATCAAGATTCAACAAATGATCTCTCAAGTTCTACTCTCTCCGTTACTACTACGAGAATGGCAGAGCCTATTAGGTCTCCTCACGTCAGCTCAAGACATGACGCACAGAGGGAGACTACAACTGCGTCCACTAGAGAGATTTGCGAACGCCCACTTACACAGTCTGGATCCCTTCGAAATACCAGACAGACTAAAACCATACCTACTATGGTGGACTCAGAAGTCGAATGTTTGCGGCAGAAAGTACTTAATAGAGCCAGAGGGCAACGTCAACCTCTACGTAGATTCATCACTGCAAGGTTGGGGAGCACACCACAACAACGAAGTGGCTGCCGGGAAATGGTCGAAACAAGAAATGAATCTGCATATCAACATGTCTGAGATGAAAGCAGTAATAAATGCCCTACTACATTGGTCCAACATACTAAGAAACGCAAAATTGATGATCCATACGGACAACTCAACAGTGGCGTTCCACATAAGCAAACAAGGATCAACAAGATCTTGGAATCTTCTAGACCTCAGCTTTCAACTATTCAACATAATAGACAATCTGAACATTTATGTGAAAGCATGTCACATTCCGGGAGCCAGGAATGTAATAGCAGATGCTCTATCTCGACCACATCAACCATCCCCAACAGAATGGATGTTACATCCACAAGCATTTAGATGCATCATACAGACTATAGGATCTCCACTTGTAGACCTATTCGCCACAAGATTCAACAATCAACTGGCAACATTCGTCTCTCCAATTCCTGATCCGCAAGCATGGGCGACAGACGCTCTAAGCATCCCATGGGAAGGACTAAACGCGTATGCGTTCCCTCCGCCAGCGTTAATACCACAATCTACAACTGATTTTGGTCGCACCTTACTGGCCGGCAAGAACGTGGCTTCCCGTTCTCTTACAAGAACTCGGAAAACCAACAATACAACTTCCAGTTTGGTCGAACCTCCTAATTCATAAAGGGATTAAAAGGTTCGACATTATCTACATACCTAGCGGCTCTCAGCTCAGTTATCACTATGAAGACAGGCGTGAAACTGACGAAAGTGCCAGAGTTACTGGCCTTGCTACTCTCTTTTAAACTGGAAGACCAACAAAGGAAATTTAAAGCGCCAGCTTGGGATCTCAACGTGGTGTTATGACATCTCACCAGTGATGCGTACGAACCACTAGAAAGAACTTCTTACGAATTTCTTACACAGAAAACGCTATTTCTGATCGCCTTGGCAACAGCGGCGCGGATGTCAGAAATACATGCCCTGGACTTCAAACGAATACGTTTTGACACACATCACAACATAGTTCATCTAGGATTGAGATGGGATTTCATAGCTAAGAATCAACTGCCAGGTCAATCGGACAGGCAATTCCACATCCCAGCATTATCTGCAATCCTTGGTCTACAGGATATACAAGACTTATCCTTATGTCCAGTCAGAGCACTGAAAATATATCTACAAAAGTCTAAAACCAGGAGACGAAAATTCAAACGCCTTCTCATCCCCATATCGTCGGAGACACCCACAGAGATCTCACGTACTACGATATCAGTTTGGATGAGAGCAATCATACTACGAGCCTACAAGGCAGCAGGACTTTAGCCTCCACGAGCCTCCAATCCGCACGAAGTTAGAGCATTGGCATCTACACTCGCTCTACATGGAAACTGCTCAATATCCACGATCATGGAAGGGTGTTTTTGGAATTCGGAGACAGTGTTTGCTAACCACTACCTCAGAGACATCGCTACCGGTATCCACCAGTTTGGGCCTCTGGTTGTAGCTCAACAGCTGACGGTCCCGCAAAGGTGCTGAGATGTATCTCGCCCTTTTACCGCATGTCATGCAAAGCTCGTACTCCAAGGAATAGAGCTTATAGTCCATGTACACGTCTAGAACAGACTAGCATGAATATTGGACCCTGTACTTGTAAGGAATTACTTGTACACGGATAGGGTCACTGCTCCACTTGATACGAACATCAAGAGTTGGAGTTATTGAAATCCACATATACGGTTACAGAAGAGTTTGATATATTGTGGTCCCCCCAAATTACCAGATAAAATTCGACATATGGATCAACAGCAGCAGCAGTGCCATTAAATGTTCCCATGGGGGGTAAATAGGACGTAAATTCATCACTAAGGAATCCAGAAGTGGCTTGACCCACCACCTATCCCGTCGGATTCTACAAGCAATAAGCATGAGTCAGGATAAGGAAAAATATGTAATTTTCTGAATAAAATTGATATTTTATACTTATCCTGACTCATGAGGCAAGCCCTCCCAACCTCCCCTCAAGGCACTCTGGATTTCCCAGTAAATCAGTGTGTCGGGCTGTAAAATACGGAGAGAGTGAGGAGCATGGGAGACAGGTGGTGCCGTTTCCCGCCAAAACCTGAGAAGGGAGATGACTCCTGATAAGTGATTTTACGTCCGCTTTTTTGAAGGGAGCTTCAAAAGGGGATTCAAGTGTTCCACTAGCATTCAGAAGGAAAGGGAGACAAGCAATAAGCATGAGTCAGGATAAGTATAAAATATAAATTTTATTCAGAAAATTACATGTTTAAATTACTCATTAAGTCTATAAAATACCTCTGAACTATATCACATGTTATTGTGTTACACAATGTGAATACAATTATAGAATGAGCAAAAAAATGTTATAGTAAATACATTTATAGTGTACATAAATCTGGTAAGGTGTTACATACAAGGTTGGTTGTACCTCGCCCGAACAATCACAGATCTGCATAACAATTAAGTATGTATGCAGAAGAAGAATGACAATTTTTATGGATATACAATTTCTTTTATTCTGTGAAGGGTGACGTTTCGACATAGATTCTAATGTCCTTGTCAAGCAAGTATAAAAGAAGTTGTATATCCATAAAAACTGTCATCATTCTTCATCAACTCAACTTCTAAAATGCCCATCAAAGAAGTATGTATGCAAAGAGAAAATATATATATATATTTTTCATGTATGTATGTATGTATATATATGTATGTACATGTATATATGTATGTATGTGTACACACACACACACACACACACACACACACACGACATGATATAAAATAAGGTTTAAAAGTACAATTGCATTAGCCACACAAATCAAAATGACATATAATATTATATATATGTGGCAATCCATCACACATACCAAACATGCAGGCATGCATTTAAACTGACTAGACATTATTTATTAGTTGTCAGATATTTTGTTGATATATGTTTAGGCTCACATTCAATACTTAAACAGGGGCGATGGGGTAGCCCAGTGGTTATAGCGTTCGCTTGTCCCGCTGAAGACCTGGGTTTGATTCCCCACATGGGTACAATGTGTGAAGCTCATTCCTGGTGTCCCCTGCCGTGATATTGCTGGAATATTGCTAAAACCAGCTTAAACTAAACTCACTCACTCATTCAATACTTAAACATTACATATACTCACAATAACACATTGATCTGATAGTTCATCTTCTACTATAACTATCTATTGGATATATTATGTTTCAAGTAAATCAAGTCTTACATGCTACGGTGAGTCATATTTCTAATTATAATAAACAAGAAACTATCCATATGTACAACATTTAATACAATGTGAACCTACCTTAAATCGTCATAAAAATCCCCTGGTTTTAAATACAACCTTCCTTCCGAAGTACAAGACAGCATGTGAGTTTAAAGTCTGTACATTGTAGCTATGCTGTGGCCAGCTTGGCCTATCAGTGAAACAATAGAACTGACTAAGAGCTGGGGCAAGGAGTGTTGTAAGCATGCAGTGTGACCATTAGTGGAGGTTTGACTGAGAGTTACAAGGCTTACTGTGCAGAGCTAAGGAATAAGAATAAAATAAAGTATAAACCATAACTAAGATTCTATCATTCTACCATATAAAATCCACCTTACTTCTCAATATAATCTTCCTAACTTTAATTGAAAACTATGTACATATATATATATATATATATATATATATGCCACACTTACATGAAGCTTGAAAAATTATACACGATAATGCACTCGTAAAGAATTGCCTTATGTCATGAGGTGATTCCTGTGCTGAAACATGAAAGTAATTGCCAGAATTTGGTGAGTAGAGAATGAACTGAATTAGCATAATTATTTAATGTTTTTTTGTACAAAATTCCTGGAAACCCCCACCCCAACCCCACCAGTAATTGATGACACCCCCTACCTCCCCAGAACAAAATGGGTGACCCCCCTTAAAATCATCAGAGCTAACCTCAAACTATGTAGTTTGTCATGGAAGTGAGGTCGGGAGGTCACGCTAATTTCTGTGCTAAGCTCAAAATTGTGTAAGAATCACATTCACCGAGTGACGCATACAATACTGTGTTCAACATAATGTACTGCCAATACTGTGGTGACAGGAGAATGTAATCAATATATTTGTATAATAGTTATATAGATTACATTGTAATTCTTGATTCCATTCTTTCCTCAGCTCACGACACACTGGACTGTTTGGAGCTGAGATACAAGGTAAGGAAAAGGATAGGTAGTGTGTGTGGGTGGGTGCGTGTGTGCTTATGTGTGCATGTGTGCGTGCGCACATCCAAATCCATGGTGTCAGGTTTAACAGCACTGAATGAGAATTCATTTGCTGACTCACCAACTTCTAGAATGCCGATCAAACAATTACTGAATGAGAAGTCTTCACATACAGGCCATGGGCGGATCCAGGGGGTTCGGGACCCAACCCCACCCCACCCCATCCCCCCTTTTGAAAATGACTTAAGACCACATTGAAGATTTTTTTTGGGTGTTGGTGGAGACAAGGGGGGCTTCAGGGGGTTCAAACTCACTGAACCCCAACCCCTTTCAAAAATTCCTGGATCCGCCGATGCAGGCTGTTTTGTCTGCAGTAATACCCCTGACAACACTCAGTGCACATTATGCAGCACCAATTGTATGAGATGTTATAATGCCAGGCATCAAGTACACAGCATCAAATCGTATCTGTATTGCAGTAAATCCATTTTCAGACATACTTTTCAACCAAACAGTCTTCTGCATCAGTTTTGTTTGGTAATTCCAGGTTGACTGGCCACTGAACATTGTGCTGACAGACAGCTGCATGACCAAGTATGGCCGCATCTTCTCGTTCATGCTGCAGCTGAAACGGCTGGTGTGGGCACTCAAGGACATCTTACACAGGCTCAAGAGAGATTGTGAGTTGCTCTGTTTCTGAGGGAGAGTTAGTGAATGAATGTTATTTTACGCTGTTATGTTCCAGCTGCATCATGCACTCCTGTAAGTGATATTGGTTTCACCCGCTTGGTCATAAATTCTTTCGCAATAGGGGCGGCTTGGTAGCCTAGTGGTTAAGGTGTTCGCTCATTACGCTGAAGACCCGGGTTTGATTCCCCACATGTGCACAATTTGTGATATTGCTGGAATTTTGCTAAAAGCTGTCTAAAACTAAAATCACTCACTCACTCTTGGGAGATATGTAGCCTTACTTGTAACAGTGATATTGTGGGTTTTTTTCAGATTCGTTAAAAGACATACGATCTTGAGATGTTCACGCTTGAGTTGATCAATGTATTATTAGTGATATGAAATCAACAAAGTTTGACCTCTTCGTCTATTTAGTTGTCTCTTCTGTCATTGGATACTCGGGACTTATTCAATCTCAGGAGTATCTCAAGGATATTAACTAGTTGTGTTTAGTATAAGAAGGGGAATGTCCTTGTCTCATACATGTTTAAAACAGTTCACGTTTGACTGCTCTCTATTGCAGCAATTATCAACAAGGCAGGGAACTCTCCACAGTTTAGACGTCTTCAGTTGCACAGGTTGGTAGTTTCCTTGTCTATTACTTATCTCTGTTTCCACTTGCACATATTCTTGCTACGACAATCATAACTCCCATTCTCTAACATAGACTTTCGATAGTTGTAGCTCTAAGATCACTCTGTACAACTGGGTCCTGGTAAGAAATACAAATTTCAGGGTGTCTGTGGTTGAATTTCCCTAATGGAACTTTGAAGTCCAAAGTAATGGTAGTTCTGTAGCTTCTCAGCATATGCAATGATTTGATATTAGAAACATCGTAGTAATGTTGTGGAAAAGTGAAACATGACACAAGGTGACAGCCTGGGACCCCTGTTTACTGAGATTTTTTGTTGGCCCCCAAAACAAATCCCATTATTAAAGACTCAAAGATTGCAGTGTCATGATATTGATTAATGAGCTTAAGGTCGGAGGGACACTGGTACATCTTCAAATTCTGTATTGACATGAAGTCAGTATCCGAAATATTATTGGAGTTTTAATAAAGATGGAAATGTACCGAAGACAGTGTGAAGATGTTGATGATATTGCAGGTGGGAGATGATGCACTTTGTGAAGGTCATACAGGAGTACATCGCTAACCAGATTCTACTGCTGACCTGGTCAGAGTTCATGGACGCTGTCCAGACTGATGTCCATGATCTGGATGACCTGCACCACATACATGCCCGGTACCTTGAGAATGCCATCTTCAGGTTTGTTGCATGTTACAAAATCCTCACTTGTTTTCACCATCTCCAGTTTTCAAGTATATTTTGTTTCAAGTTTCTTCATTTTAATCTGAGAATTTTTTTCTCCAGATCTCTACAGAACAAGAAAGCTGCTTTTGTGATGAAAATCATTCAGGACACTTTCTGTCTCATCCTGAAGTTCCGCTCTCAGCTTGTCAGCGCCCCCTGGATAAGAGATGACAACACAGGGGAGATGACTCACCCTAACTTCAACAACATGGTGGCATCTTATGATGCATTTAAAGCATATACTCTCTTCCTTTTCAAAGGTAAGTTAGATAACTAGTATCACTACATCGATTATATGATCTGTAACTTTAAATCAAACTAGTTTGAATGTGAAGGCATATTGGACCTTCATACCACATTAAAATGTAAGAATATATAATGAAATATGGAAACTTAAATGTTTATGGATTCTGCCGACAGCAAAATAAGGTGGGAACAGGAAAATTCTTCTGAAGCACTGATGTTTTTATATTATATAATTGTGCAAACAATAGATTAGTCTACGAACAGAACAAGCTCAACAAAAACCTGATCAGCACTTACAAACATTCTCCAAACCAAGAAATACAGGAAACATTACAGCTGAAACCTGCAATGAACTGCAGAATCTGCTATACATAATCTGTTCATAGCAACTATTTGTGTAGACTAAAACAACCATGAGAGATTTTACGGGCTGATATGGAATGTAGAAAAATGTTTGGCATGAAATACTGAGATTTTTCTGTATTTTGAAATATAGGAATGACCTCATTTTGAGGGTTCTTCACTGATTTATTTTTTGTTTTCTGTCACTGTAAACATCATGGTTCCACTTTTACTTTCATTGCAGTTGTGAAGAAACTGGCTCTCCGGGGCTACCAGCCTCATCTCCAGGAGCTGCTGCTGAGATTTAACTTCAACAACCACTACGACAAGAGCTAGACCATCTCCATCACTGTGGTGTACTGTAAGAGTCTTGGCACCGTTGCCATGACAGCATTTCCAGAGCCTTCCAGATCAAATGCTATGTTTTGTGTTTGTCATGCAGTATAGTGCTTGGTTAATGATGAAGTAGTGTCTATGACAGCTTTTTCAGTTAGTGTCATATGCTATACAAAACTGGTCACAAGTGACATATCCCACTTTATGTCATAAGTAACAATTCATTGTGGAATCTATGATAAAGTGACATGATCTATCATGACCTGAATTACTATTAACTCTGCCTAGATTTTCGAGGCTCTCTTAGAGCTAAGATAGTCGTAAGTTAATGTTAATGTATGGTACTTACGACCATCATAACACTAAGAGAGCTTCGAAAATCTAGGCCCTGGTCCATAAATAGTTCTTAAATATCACACCATGATCAAGGTTTAAAAGTTGAAGCAACACATGTACAACATAACCACTAGTGCTGGGATGGATGGTTTTCTCATTTACACCTCAGTAAGTTCTTGTAACATTATTCAAGTTAGTTTCAAAGTTTGATGGTGATATACAGTATATTATAAAGGGACTAACCATTTGGTATTCCAATAGAAGGGGTCCAGAGCTGTTTTTGAAACATAACTGGAAAAAATCAGTTGTGAAAAAGAATACAAAAGATTGTTTTGGGGACATGTGAAATGGCAAAGAGATTGTCCTGTTCTTCTTTCATGATAAACAAAGGATATTTAATGGTTGGTCCCTGTGGTAAACTGGTATAGCACTGACAGGAGCATTTACAAGTATAATATTAGCATAGACATTTTACTAGGAAACCCTGTGGATATTTTCAGTTTTGGTGTTATAGATTGGTTTATCAGGTCTTTCAGTATTCTAAATATGTCCTAAAGTCTCTTCACTGGTTGCCCATCCAAGCCAGAATTGAATTCAAGACCCTGACCATTGTGTTCCAATGTCAACATGACCTAGCACCTCAGTTCCTCTCTGACCACAACAGCTGAGATCACACCAACAGTTCCTCCTAACAACACCCCCTGTCCATCTCAAGAACTATGGTCACAGATCATTCAGCTTTGCTTCTCTTCACTGTGGAACAGTCTTCCCATAACCATAAAAACAGCAACCTCTCTTGACTTATTCAAATCTTCATTGAAGACCCATCTCTTCAGGAAATATTACAAGAGACTTGTACAACTGCTGCAGTTTTTAGCTGTACACACTTGGCGCCATGAGCATACACTAGTGTGTGGATACGGCACCATACAAATGGACATTATTATTATTAAATGCCCCCAAAATATTTATGAAGTTATTTGAAGTGGATAAAATGAACCAAAGGAATAATGATTTGATATCAAGAAACAAGTGAATCATTGCCAGAAACTAATTAATCAGTGATATGTGATTCTAACTCTTAGTGTACAAATACCTCATGTGTCCATGCATTTATATAAATAATTTAATGCTTGCCTTTGTTTGTGTGCATAATCCGTCCTTTCAGCTGCAAGTAATCTCACATTTCTACATGCATGTATAATTTGTACAAATATTGAGATTTTGTAAATCTAAAAATAAATGACACTGATATATAAAATGAAGTGGTTTTTTTCAATTCTGTCAATACAGAACTTCACTGAGACTTCTTATTGTTTGAATCTGTATTCTGGACCTAATTTAAAAAGTTCCTTTGGCTGGATTGATAAAATGTGATTGATATACAATGCATAAGGTTTGTCAACACAATTATTGTTTTAGTGTAGATCAGATATAATTGTGTAAATGGAAACAGATTTTTCATTTTTTTCTTTAATATTCCTTAGAATTCTACCAGTATACATTCTCTCACATAAATTCATACACAAGTACTTGTCAACTATTCCTTTAGAATAGGGCGGTGAGGTAGCCTAGTATACATTGGCTCTCACATAACCGAGGTTCGATTCCCACATGGGCAAATGTACCCATTTCTGGTCAACTCAAGCATCATTTCTAATATACATAGTACAATCTAATGGATTTATTTTGGGCTCTTTAGCGTGTTTTTGACAATTGTGACAAATATTTGAATATGTTTTATAAAAGTGTGTGTATATTTTGTTACATGTTGATTCCCAAGTTGAAACAAAATGTTAACTGGAAATCAGTAAAAGAATATAATGTGAAACAAACAACAAAGAAATGTGATATAATTTACAAATGTATTCTAAAATTTTAGTTTACAAATCAATTAAGTGATGTTCCGATGATCGAAAATCGATCGAAAGAAGGATTAAAATTGATTATCTATTGTAAAAAACATTTTCGATTAATCAGAATTTTGTTGTTTTTGTATAACACCCTTGAATGAAGTAAACTAACCATCAAATCTGACGAATATTCACGAAGAAACAAGCGCTCAACAGCCTAAAGCTACGCACATTGTAAAATTTTAACCACTTTTATTGTTTAATTACAATTCCAGTGTCTTTCTTGCATGCATGCATTTCATTGCATGACAGCATTAGTTATAAAAAACAACATTAATTAGAAAAAAACTGGGGGAAAAAACTTAAAATTGGTGATTACATTAAAAATGTATATATTTCGATTATAATCGATAACCGTTCACCGCAATCCTCCAATAATCGATAGTGGATTTGGTTTCCGATTCCCAACACTTAAATCAGTACAAACAAACTACAGAGGAATACAATGGCAGTACAAATTCAAATAGGCCTAGGCAGAGTATCCAGCATGAGAAGTGATGTTCACACAACTGCTGGTCTTACTGTACTGAGTGAGTGAGTTGGGTTTTACGCCGCTTTTAGCAATATTCCAGCAATGTCATGGCGGGGGAACACCAGAAATGGGCTTCACACATTGTACCTATGTGGGGAATCGAACCCGCCCTTTGGTATGACGATTGCTTTAACCACTAGGCTACCCTACCGCCTTTGTCATATTGTAATGTGAGATGCTCGATGCAATACCATTATATACTAGCCACATAAAGAAACTGCATTGTCAAAATATTATCCCAGTTGATAAGTACGATAACAATGTCAAAGGTACGTATACACTTTAATGGAGGGATCATGAGACCATAACAAGTCGGGAGAATTTCAATTGAAAAAAGTCAATCACAATGACGTCACGAGTCCACAAGCGGGACTGGGGTCAAACGACCATGTCACAAGCTCAATAACGGGTATGTCCACCATCGGCATTGAAAACAGCAGTGCATCGACGACGCATAGAGCCTATCAAACGTGCAAGGAAGGCTTGTGGGATGTCACGCCAGATTCTCTCAAGTTCTGTTGCAAGGTCAAGGACGTTATCTGGCGGATGAGGAAGACGGCGTAGACGTCGATCCATCTCGTCCCAAACATGCTCTATCGGGGAGAGATCCGGTGAATTTGCAGGCCAAGGCAGTAAGTCAACGTTGTGGTGTTGCAAGAAATCCATAGCAACCCTTGCCGTATGAGGGCGGGCATTGTCCTGTTGGAATGTTAACCCCGGGCCATGACGTTGCAAAAAAGGAATTGCCACAGGTCGAAGAATCTGGTCCCTGTAGCCCACACCAGTTAAGTTGCCCAGAATAATCACCAAAGGAGTTCTTTGGCGTGCTGTTATTCCACCCAAAATCATCACGGAACCACCACCACCAAAGCGATTCCTCTCCAAGACACAGGCCTGTGCATAACATTCTCCCACGCGTCTATAGGCACGTTGACGTCCATCACTATGGGAAATGTTAAACCTGGACTCATCTGTAAAATAACATATCTACACCAAAACAAGGGTCTGCGGACATGATTTCGGCATCACATTCGGCGAGCTTGTCGATGACGTTGTGTCAGGATAGGCCGTATGGCCGGACGTCGTGGTCTGATCTCGTGATGACGTAAACGTTGTCGAACTGTGTTGGGGTGGATACGGCGAAGTCCTGGGATGGTTCGGGCAGTCATCACTGCAGTCGGAAACCTGTGGCGAAGATGGGTCACCCTTATCCATCTGTCCTGTCTTGGCTTTGTTACACGTGGACGTCCAGAACGTGGCCGATCGAAGACGTCATTTGTGTTCTGGTAGCGTCTCACCAGTGCTATGCAGAAATGGTCTTCCGGTGGCAGTGGAAATGTGCAGCCACTTGTCGTTGAGACATTCCCCCACGGACCATCCCAATGGCCTCATGACGTTGTGCAGACGTGAGCCTTGGCATGCTATGCGTTTCAATAGCCGTTTAATTTTTTTTGAACGATCGCAAGGGCAGGGGTTGAGCTTTCCAAAGTGACAGTATTGTGTGGCATTCATTTGCTCTGTTTCTCTTTCCCGGAATGCACGTGCAACAACGTATTGCACGTCTCAAGGACGAACCCACTGACGTCACGGAACGTGGCACGTGCATGCATGTTGGATACATGTCACTAATCTCTGAGTTTGAATCCTTATGTCTACACAGGTTTGATAAATTTAGATTTTACATTTTTGTATGCACAGTTTCTTTATGTGCCTAGTATATATAAACAATGGTTTCCTAACTCTCCACATTAAATTACTTTGGAATGATTAATAAGGCCTAGAAATTTCAACACCAATACTGTTGTGCCTCCCAGTCTAAATACAGTAACCAGCACACTTACTGTGCTCTACTGAATCTAACAGAAACAACCTAGTACAAATACAACACTGTTCTACAATGTCCACATATGTGAATGTCCAATGACTTCTGTCATCTTGGCCCATGTGTCCTGTCTTCTCCAACAAAATTGGCATAAAAAACAATAAAAACCTAAACTCACTCACATATCAAATCAAATCAAATTAGACAATTGTATAGCGCTAGATATCCAGAGTCCTGCTCATGTGCCTTTAGTGGAATGCTCATTTGAAGAGGATCGATTTGAGACAAGATCGGAAACGGTTGATTTTTTTGATTTTCGGACATTTTCAGGTAATCCATTCCAGAGTACAGCACCCGCTCTGCTAAGTGTTCTGTTCCCGTATGTTGTGGTTCGGACAAATGGAACATCTAAGCTTTAAGTACAGGGGAAAATACCCCTAACAATTTTGCCCAGTGGTATCAAGAAGGCCAGAAGAGGACAAACCTTTCCTGTTTGCCTTATATGCAATTGCTGTTCAGACAATAATAAACTCTAAATGTTTCACAAACTATTAATAAAAGCAGCAGAGTTCCCCCTTAAGCTCTATCCCTTTAAAGTCAGTAGAGGCATCAAAGCTTATCCAACCGAAAGGGGCTTAAAACAAAAGTCAAACCCAAGTGAAAATATTACTGTTTATTGACTGTCAAATTGTAGATTGTCCAAAATGTTCTAAATGTATCTCTGTATTTGAAAATATCCAGTTGTGAAATAACATAGGTATTCCAAACTAAAAGGGCCTATAAAAAGAAGTAAAATCCAACTGAAAGTAAACATTATTTATTTGATCAACATGATACTGAAAAAGTCCAAAAGGTCCCTAAATGTGTATGTGTATCTGAAAATGTCTCAGTAAAAACTCCCAACGAATGTGACTGTCCAGATTATGTACAGGAGTACCAGATGACAGTCCATCTTGCCAGCACTGAACACTCTTCTCAGAAACTTGGTCACACGGGATAACAACTCTCTCACTCGGGACTGGGGCTCTTTGTCATCACCCAGAGGGATTTCCACAAAGTGACTGTCATCCAAGTAGATGATGTTGTTGATGGGGACAGAGACAGACCAAGAGGCAGGGTCAGGAGAGGAAATGGGTGTGTTGGGGGTGGGCAGGTCTGAGATGGGGCAGGGTTGGGTCTGGACACAAGGACGCTGATAGGAAGGTATAGATAAGTAGACAGTGATAGGGGATAGAAAAGGGGTGGGTTGCTAAGGTAGTAAGGAATATTAGGAAGAAATAATGGAAGGAAAGATTCGTGAAAGAAATTGGAAAGACGAAGACTCAAGATTCACGTAGACCGTGAAGATGTCATTATAAAGGGAGGACATTAACGGGCCCGATGGTGACAGTTATAAGCTACCAATATGCAAGAATGACACCTCACTTCACTGCCACCTACTTTGCGTGAAGCAGCTGGAGCCCAGATGGCAAAATTCAGAGGAAACCGAACCACAAGGTCCAAATCTGTAACAAAGGACATGAGAAATGGTTAAATATACCAACTGATTTCCAATAGCGAAATATTGGCGACTCTTTGTTTTTTAAGAATAGTTAAAGGAGAATACGAGTGAATTGTAATAATTTGCTGGGTGAAAGTGACTTTTAGGGTGCTTTCTTCCATATATCAAAAAAAGAAATTTCGTTAGTATTCTCCTTTAAACGAAAAAATATAAACATGACTGATTTCATGGTACTATGTAATAGGCATTTGAGTGGCCCATCCGCCCTTTATGCTGCTTGTAAAATATGTTCTTTGTTTAATCGAAATGCAATTGTATGAGAAGAGCTTTGAAAATTTGGTCTATTTGATTCAGCTTGTCAGTATTGAAGTAAATATACCTGAATTAAAGATCTGGAAAGATTCAGTTACTCTGAAATACAGAACATACCTTGAACGTAACGATTCATGGTGCACCAGACGTGAGAATCGATAATATTGAAGCAGATCAGCGCAAATATACGAGATGAACAGATGAAACAACAATGGCTGCGATTTGCATCGGGAGTAAGTTTTGTAGTCAAGACGACGTCACAAGTCACACGAGAGCGTCATAGTATCGCGTGATGTCAACATGGACTGGTTATCTCGTAGGAAATCGAATCTATAATTTGCGCCCAATTAGAAACCCAGTTTTCCTGGAAGTCGAGTTAACAGTTTAGATGGCGCGTAGTTCAAAAAGACGAATTTTTTAAATGGATATGCATGCATGATGTTGAGCAAGTTGGCGGTCTCATGTCAGAATTACCTCGAACGGCAAAGACAAACGGGCCAAAGAAAATAGCCCTAATGGCCGTTTGAAATGTAAACACTATTGAACTTACACTATTGAACACACATAGTGCCAATAATATTTTGTTGTTTCACAATAATAAATGTTAGATAGATAGTTCATGTGTGGAAATTAGACAAATCCATTGACAAAAAGATTTCCAAATGCACATCTGAGAGAACATGTGGTTTCTGTCCAAAGAAATGAATCTTGGAATGTAGGAGAAATTCCCTTTATGTTTTAAAAGTACTTGTACCGTCGAGCAGAGCAATGATTATTATCGGGAGACCAAACACAGGATCTGATAAGCCAAAGGGAGTCAACTCCGTCCCGTACCCACTGGGACGGCCGGACTGTCATTTGACATGAAAACAAAATATTTTTATTTTATTGCAAGATATAAAAATGTCAAAGGATAAGTTAAACCTGGGTTCATCTGAAAAAATGACATCTGGCCATGTCCTGTTGCCAAGATTGGCCCCATTTGCTGCCCATCGCTGTCTGGCAAGTCTGTGGCGATGCAATAAGGTTGGACCACGGTACGGGTGACGACACCGGATGTTGAAGGCAGCAAGGCGTCCTTGCACCTTTTGGGCGCTGAAATGACGTTGACTTGTCCCAATTGTCCTCCTTGCCTCATCATCAGCTGTTTGGAACCGATTTCGCAAGTGTGAAACTCGGATATTGCGATTTTGTCGAGCTGTTATCACAGGTGGCGCACCAGGTCGCGGACGATCAGCAACACTTCCGGTAGCCCGAAAACGTTGTCCGAGTCGACTTACAGTGGATGGATGCACATTAAAGTGCCTGGCAATCATCACATCTGAAGCACCTTGGCTGACTATACCGATAAGCTGATTCCTTTCGTCTTGTGTCAAGTGTGGCATTTTCTCAAAGTGATTGAGTTCCACTTTTAATGGCTTACAGTATATAAACATTGTTGTATCTTGCACGAGCCAAAATGAAAACGATGACACCATTTGGTTGCTTATAACATAACCCCAAAGAATAGCGTATATGGTGTGGCATTTATCAACTTCCGTTCTAAACTATAAACAGTAGGTTATAGTTCATAAGAAGATTGTTCATCATTTAGTTCGTAATAGTTTTGCTGGGTCATATGAAATGTACGGCTAACAGTTCAATATTAAGCTTATTTATACGCATATTGGTTCCTTCAGTGTCCAGTTGCAACATCGAAACCTCTTTAAAGCTGTGGATTATTTACAATAACCAATGTCAATTTATATTTCAGGCCTTGTACATTTCACGCATGTCACCAGTCGCCCCTTTCCGTAACCTCCAAGGTATTCGGCTTTTCTCGGAATAGCACGAGTTGGTCACGAATGGTGTTCGCCAATATCATCACGTGGTGTCGTGATTACGTGTTAGCCAATCAGTGCTCACATCCGTTGCACGAGTTGTTGGTGCGCGTTAATTCCAGACGCCATGAAAGGAAGCAGACGTATAATATAGTCACCAACTGCACCGGGTCGACCACCTTTATTTCAAACAAGGTTGTCAGACTTTACATGGGGCCGAAAAACAATGAGCATAAGCACAGTTGCTCGGTGTCTCTACTGTTTACGCGCAGCAATTAATGTTGAGAAAACATATTTGAAAAATGATATTTTGAAGGCTTCTCTGCGATGAATTTCCAAGTTGAAAATGACATTAAGGTAAGTAGATGCAGAAATACATTTTGAAACCAGTTGTTTGTGGGTCACAACATGTGGACAACATATTCACCATTTCCCAGTGTCTATTTATTGTTTGTTGTGAGAAATATACTCGGGTATAACTTCGCTTCAAGCGAGTCCGGTAATTCGGCGGGTCCGGTATTTCTGCGCAGTTGCAATAGCGTACTTCCGTATCGAAGGTAAACATCGTCTGCTACCACATTTACACTTGAAATCGGGACATTTCTACAAAGGACTGGCTTTTAATCCCTAAAAGTATGTAAATAACAGTAATTGACAGATAAATTGACAGTTATGAAAATTCGTTTTCTTCAGACTTTTAAACCTTGTTCTTCATTATTCATAATTGGATTTAATATGAAACAATCTTCCTTACATTGATGAAGTGATTTTTGAACATAATCTGGCCCTAATACGCTTCCATACTTCGGATCTCCAGCTGGATGTTATGCGCATCAGTTGCTGCGCAGAATTACCGGACAGCAAATATGTCGTCCGAACGCCGGAAAGGTCAACTGTATGGCATAATGCAACGTTAGAATCTTATAGTGGTAGGTAAATAGGATACATACCAGCGTGTTTAGTCACGTAAACCACAAAAATAAGAGACGTTAGTTGCCGTGTTGCGATCGATGTACTTAGGTGCGCGGAATTACCGGACGGCATTGTATAGTGTTGAATTGACATCCAAGACATCATAGTGGTATGAAATTGAACTGTACTGCACAGTCTGCAGTACCCTGTTATTTTCAAACACACACATGCCCTTTGTGTCCTGAAAGTTTATTAAATGACCGCTGAAACTCTCGTGAAAACGTGTGAAAATGTACTGTGCACCTTTGTTCGAGCTTGCTGGTTTATTGCAATGTGATATGATCTTAAACAACGGGTGTAGTAACCATTGACTAGAGGTAAGTTCTGTGAGGGATGCCCCACAGTGGTAAACGTATTCGCTAGCCACCCTGAAGGCCTGGTTGAATTCCCATGCACTGATGTACAACGTTTCGTAATATGACAGGTACATACGAGGGGCGATCAAAAAGTATGTAGAATCACCAAGAAAACGATACAAATGCAGTTATTTTTATGTTTTACATTTTTGTCTCACATATGTGTCTGTCAATCTTGGTACCCTCAAAACGCAAAATCTACAATAAATGCAGCAAAAATAAATAAATTATGCTATGTTCCAGTCTCACGATCCCCATTTTGTCTGACCTTTTTTGGATCTTGGTACCATAGCTCAAAAATACATGCAAAAACTAAATACAATAAATGCAGCTCAAAATACCTTAAACAGGAAACAAAATATGCAAAATATCCCCGAAAATATTCAGGCAATCCAAATGTGTGTTTCATGAGGAAGTTCCATACTGAATATTTTATATGTCCCCATTAGAATCAAAAAGACAAATCGTTTTTCATTTTCTGCAATTTTGTTAGAAATATTATACCCCAATGTGTTGTGATGACAAATATCTGGTTAACCACATTACCCACACATGTGAAATTTTGCATATGGCTTTGCTAACGATTCCTTCAAAATAAAATGGAAGCTTTTCAAACATTGGACATCGAGAATATAGTTATGTTACAGGGAATGTGCGAAACCAGGGATTTCACGTAATCCCTGAAAGATTCAGGGATCATTATCCCTACCGCTAAGTCTGGAGCTGACAACCTGAGAGACCCAATGTCTTATCGCAGCATCACACTAGTGCATCTTCTTGTTATGACTAATAATTTAATCAATATTCCTTTTGTAGTTTCAAAAGTTACAGACGTTGTTTTTAGCGATTTCGTTTATAAATGGAAACAGGTCCTTTTACAATTTGTAGTTTAACTGGTAGGGGAGGTAATAAGTTACATACGTACTGTACTTTAAAAGTGGATTTTTGCAGTGATTTTTATGTTCATTGTAATGTCTCGCTCTATGAGAAAAGCAATAGCTTTGTTTAGATGTGCGGTAGCGCCGCTTAGAATCGAAACTGTAAAGATTTTATTGAAGATGAGTGTCATGTTTTATTGCGTTGCCCTTTGTATGCTGACGAGCGATTGCAACTTTTATCTAAATGTACACGTCTTTAGATGTTTTTCTTGAAAATCTGGGTATGTCGAAAAATGTTTCTTCTAGCTTGTCCAGGTGTATCGTTTTTATCTGCCAAATCTGCCTTAATATTCTTAAAAGAACGTACTGCAAATTTGTATACATCTTCTTAATGTAACTTGTACCCTTATTATTGCATTTTTTTTAAATATTCATATATTATACTCTGTATATTGTGGCACAAGTGTCTCTCATAATTCCGTACGGAATGGCTCAACATTTTACTGTGATATAGCATTTAAAAATTTAGTGAGGATTTTCAAATATTTTGTTTTCTTTATTGAAAATAGACGTTTAAGTTTAAACAGACTAGACCATTCATAGAAATAACTTGGAATATACATCATCCCGCTGTTGAAGAAGAGCTTTGGGATATGGGTTTGGGAAGGAAAAGGTATTTTTCAAACCATATTTCATGTTTGTCCTCAGCGTCTTCTTTCTACGAATGATGTGACAATGGACAAAGAACTGTTTCTCCACTATACACGAAGAAAAAGTTAAGCACCCCCTGAAATTTTCACAATGCCAAATGGCAAAAAACATGTCAGGTCCGCAATGGCCCTAAATGCTCGGACATTCAAATGCCATCTGATAGAACAACCATCTGGCAAGACAGAAGCACAACATCGGTGAGCTGTGGTTAGAATGTAATGGCGATTACGTCATGTTATCACAGGTACTGTTTTTACCCCGAAACAAAAAACCCGAAAGTATTGAGCTGCAAGTCAATGAAAGGGTGTTGACATTGATATTGTCACATGAAAATGTTCCTTGAGGACACTAGTGTACGTGTTCAGTGAGACTAATCAGTACCGGGTGGACCCGCCACGTACCCGGATGACACATTCCACCCTACGTCTCATGCCTCCAGTCAGACGTCGGATCTGTTCTCGGGTCAATAACAACCACTCAGC